CGGCCGTTAGAGCATACACTCTCAGCGGCCGAGAGGAATCCCTCCGTGGCCGTTGAGGGCATCTTCCCGGCGCCGACTCCCAACCTCCCTGGGGATTGTGGCGGATCGACTCCCAAAAACCCCCGGGGGGTTTTTATTTTTTTCATTTTTTTTTTTTTTTTTTATTTTTTTTATAAGGGGAGCAACTACCAAAACCTTTGAAGGTTTTGGAGGTCTGACTCCCATGGCCGTCCGGAGGAGCGTCCACAGACAGTCCTCTTGACGTCCCAGAAATTTGGGAGTCAGAACTCCAATTTCTGGGAGTCATTTAACTAAGACCCAAAATTTATTACTTGAGCAAAGGTAGTATTCTAATCTAAGGGAAAGAAATGATGGAAATGATTTCTTTACCTCTTGTGATGACAAATAGTTTTAATCAAGATTGAATGGAGTGGATATTCTTAGCCATAGTGCTAACAACCTCAATGTTAAACAACCGGATTAGAAAACAAAAACTTTTGCAAGTATTTCTAACTGGAAGAACCAAGTGGCTTCCAATCTTGAAACCGAGGGCATGTGGTCAATTTTCCAACTTCAGTACTCTAAGACGTACTTGAAAGAATTCCAGAAATAATGAGCGCTGGTCAATAGTATATCTTTAAATTCCCACAAAGTTAGATAAGGCTTTGGTTGAGGAAGAAGTAATCGATCAGAGACCACCGGCGTTTTGGTTTTCATCTGATTCAATAATTCATCCAAAGGCAATCCTTTGTCAATCCAAAGCAGTTCTTCACCCATGCGGTATCCATAACTGTCTATGAAATTTTGATCAATTTTCTTGGCCAGTATGTCAACAGAAAGAGGGTTCATCTGAGGTCTCGAATCGGAAATCAATTGACTCAGCCTTTGGAGTCGTTGTTCGTATAGGCCATCAGGCAATGAGTATAGCCATGCCCGTTCAGACGATTCAATCCATGGGAGTGGTCTATTAGTGTCTGTCATGACTTTCAGTAGAAGAGCGTATGCCGAGTCAATTGAAACCCTTCCATAACCCCGATCAATCACAAAATTTGCCCCAAATTGCAGTGAGTCGCCCACTTTGAGGATCGTGAGAATGTCTAAACCAAAGAGTTTACTTTTCATATTCAAATCGTAAGCTTCCCACCAGAAGAAAGGGTTGACTCTTTGAGCCAGATATGATCGCATTTCGATTTGTCGTTCCATTTCAGCTTGCCCCCATATCAACAGGCTATGAGGCATCGCCTCCCATTTTTCTTTTCTGGACCTCGCCAACGTGCTTGATAGCGGAATTTCCCGGACATCGAATGGCTCAGAAGAAAGTCCAAGCAAAGTTTCGAAACCTGTGGCAGCAGTTGAACCATAGGTTGTCTCATCAAACCACGTGTTACGGGCCTTAATCCACCGTTGGGAGATTGTATAATGAAGAATCTGACGTCGGAGGGCCAACATTCTCCTTGTACCTTCGAAAGTCCCTATGGCATCCCTGATACCACTTTCAGCTATTTCGTATGCGTAACTGTCTTTTTTCCAAAGCGAATAAAGCTCTTGATAGCCCTCCTCTGTAATGAAGCCCACTTGAGAGTGGGCCTGGAGATTTGATATGCGCAAGTATATTCCCAGAGGTAGCATCGCAGTTTTCACCTTTTTTTGAAAGGGGGATTGCCAAACAAGATTTCTAGTCTTTGAATTTTTGGAGCTAGCCTGTTCTCCGAACGCATCTTCAAGTGAGATGATTGCATTGTGATTTATTTGGTGATTGTCAATATCAGTCGTGAAGTTCGGGGGCAAATGCAACAGATCGCTCCGGCTATTCGCTTTGCGACTTCCTGAAGCTATTGACGAGCTTGGTGCTTGTGAATTGCTGTCTGCCGGCCTTACGTTATGAAGTACATCATTATTCAGTGGTCGGATGTCTTTGGAGGTGGAGCTAACAATCTGTCGAGAGATTTTGCTCGGGCTGATATCATCAGAAGCACTCAAAATACTAGTCATTGGATGAGGATTTGACATTGAAACGGAGGAAGGATTCGATTTCGTGGGTGAGATGCCTGATTTTGAAATACTGTGGTTTTCTGGTTGATCATGGCTCCTGCTTGTTTTAAAGAAAGTATTCAACACCAATGTCGGCTTTATTTTTGGAATAAATGAAAAGTGACTAACTCTGAGGTATCAGAATACGTTTCCGGTCCTTTCACTGTTTCTTTTGAACCGGGGGGTATCGCTTCTTCTTTCTTTGGATTTGACTGGTGAAGCTGTGTTTTGATTTTCTCACTACTCTTGTTGTTCGAAGTCTCACTTGATTTGGCACCTATGAGGGGCTCTTGAAGCTGCTCTTTGAGCTGCAAGGTTTTCGACCCAGATGATATCACTAGTGGATCGGTTTGCGGGATTTGGTTTGCACGGGGTGGTAAGCCTCCAAATGTTGGTCCCCCTTTCATAAGCTGGATGGACTGTGATTGGGGTAGGTTGGGAGCAGCTTTGTTTTTCAAGGCCAAAACGGTATTCGGATTTGTAGAAATTCTCGAATGATCTTCAGGTTTGCTGGCAGAATCTTGTGGCACGAATAAGTTTTGACCATTGTCGAAGTTTGATCTCTTATCTTCAACTCCAATGGCTGATTTGGTATTTCTGAATTCGTGGATTCATGCGTAAGTTGAAATGAGTTTTTGACATGTAAGACAAAGATTTAAACACAAACAAGAACATCAGCGATATGATGCTTACGTGTGCTCCAAGTTTTCAATGGACTTCTCAACCGAGGAGAGTGATGTCTTCTGCAGAGAAGATTTTATCAGTCTATTACTAGACTGCTCAGCAACTGATTTTATCATATCTCTTTCCAGTTTCCGAGTTGCCTTCGCGGCGACTTCTTTTTTTACTTGTTTTGAAAGATCTGTAATATCGTTCACTTTTTGATTATTGGGGGGTGTCCCTAGGTGGGTTTTCTTCTCAAGAGCTGGTTTGACATTTTTAGCTTGTTCTATTCCGAGGAGGCTTAGAATCTTCTCTTTAACCTGGGGATCCTTTTGCTCCAAGATATTTGAAGATGGTTGCAAAGGTTCGGGCGCCCTCCTTTTTGGTTGACTCGTCGATTCAGGCGGCCTTTCACTCAACGATCCCTTTCCCTTACCTCCTTTCCGTCTCGATATAGAAGATATCGTTGGCTGAAGATTTCCGCGGGTATCAAAATATTCACTTGATCCATGAGACCTCGTAGGTCGAATAGTTTGATCGTAGTTTTGATGATCTTCTTGTTTTTCTTTTCTTTCATTGTTTGGAATGACTTCTTCATTTTTGCTTTCTTGTTGGTTTGGATAACTTGACTTCCCTAGCTGAACCGCACTACTTTCTTCAGATGAAGATGCCAGACTTGGAAACTCATTGTCATACGCACCCAGTGCAACTTTTTCTGTTTTTTCTGATGACTGAACTTTTGCTGAGGTGTCCTTTGACGCAGTTATTTGCGACCGGATCCTCCTCTCCTGCTTTCGAAGTCTTTTCTGCCGGTTTTTTGCTCTCCGAATTTCATCTTCATTCAGCGCGCGAGGGCGTTGCTGTGATTCGGAAGGAATACTTGATTTGAAAGAACTGAGTGATTCTAAAGAGGCTGGAGTTCCACCTCGCTCTGTATTTTCCTTGGACGTTGCGACCTTGGAAATTTCTGGTAAAAATTCATTCGAGCCATTCTTTTTAAAAATGGTTAGCAGAGAGCAAACCGATGTTATTGAACATATCGCGTCACAGACATCAGGGCAAAAAAAACGTGAAGTGCAACTTACAGAACGACTAGATTCGGAGAAGTTGTCACTCGTGTCTGGAGAGGCAACATCACTTTTAAATTGCCTGATAAAATTCTTAATGGCATCTAGGCGTTCGGGATGTATCGCATAGTCGAAACTTGTCGATGTCTGACTCCCTGTGCTTGCCTTTGATTCATAGAGGACCTTGGAGTTTGCGCGCTCATTTCCTCGGCTGCCCTGACCCGCTTGATCTCTTAATTCATTTCCAGATGCTTTATTAGGATTTTGATCAATGTCTACTTTATGCTGTTTTGGTGCAACCATGGAGTCCTTTCCCTGGTCTCTTATATTGTCGTTTGAAAAGCTGGCGCGGCTTTGAAACCCCTTCCCTGGCGCCTGAGACCTTAGATTGGTTTTCGAATTTGTGAAAGATGGATTGTTAATCCGGGAGTGAGTAGCAGAATTTTTCAGGAAGTGCACCACACTTAAGCGTTGAGCTCACTCACGCAGGTACAAAAGGTTTCGACTCGAGCATTCGTTGTTTCATTGCAGCATCAAACGATTGCTGCATTGATGGACCATGTGTTGTGACCGTTGGAGACTCTGGACCTGGATGACTTAACGAAGCTTTCAGCGGGCCAGGATCAATTAATGAACTTCTTGCGCTGGTGTTACTGATTCCATCAGTGACTATGGTTGTAACTACTCTCACGGGGCTTTCCGAGACAAAAGCTGTGTGACGATTGGGTGCGTCTGCGGAATATCTATAACCTTGGTCAGCCGGCAAGGCAGGGCGTAGTAGGTAAACTGGATGGTTGTTGAACTGGTGAAAGTAGGTTCCCTGAGCAGCATTTCTTACGTCGTCGCTAGATAAACGAGTTGTCGGGATAGCCGGAATTTCATGCAGGACTGCCCCGGTCGGGTCAGTCTCGATCCCCTCTTGCAATCTTGGAATCAAACTATCGGACCGATAGACAAAGGTCAGCAGGATAAAGAGAAAGTGTGGCCAAGAGTTCAACTGGGTGAAGAATATCATGATCAAAGATGATAACGAGGGCGCATGCTCAAAGTCTGAGAACAAGAATGCCTCTGGTAATCACTTTTCAGGTGGGTGTAATTATCCCACAAAGTCGGTCTTTTCTCCAACTGGGACATGTCTCAGGTGCAAGAATTTACAGCCTGTGAGGGGTAGCCTAAATTCATGAATCATTACACATGCTCCCGTCGCGTGTCGTTTTCCAAAAAATGCCGAAACACGGCCAGCACATCGCATGAAGACGCACACGTCATGGCCCTAGTGTGTCTATATTACACTTGTGACTCGGCGAAATAGTGTGATCACTTTCTCATCCATTTCTTTGACACTGCCCAACATGAACTGTACAAATTTCAAGTTCCACACTTGGTGGTTTTGAGTCACAGCTTGCTCTCAAGGGTCTGAACTCTGGTGCACCTGAATCAAACTGGCACAGACAAACTTGGAACTGTTGACTGTTATCCATGTTTCCATCAAGGTTTGCCATACCAAGCTGAGCTTTTGAGTGCCCTCTTCCTCAAAAAATAAACAGTCAGTTATGGAAGAATTTGGCATACCCCTTCCCTTGTCACTTGTCTATGAGGGGTTTTTTTACATGGTCTGCAATCTGCTATCCCCCCGCAACAAATCCTTTGATTACTATTTGCTTTGACTCGGAGTCCTGATTGACTGGCAGGACTGCATTGGGTCTAAAGAGCCTGATGTCTTCATAAAAATGTTACCAAATAAAGCTGGTATTTATCTTTTCCTACCTTCTTGAAGTCCTGAACTAAGAATTTTTAGTTTAAGCCTCCAAACATCTTGATTTTTTACCTTCACCTCAGCCACAGTGTTTGTGACCAGGTCCAGTGTTTTGACCGATGTCATTTATTTTCTGCCTCTGATTCGCAGGAATTTGATTTCCACCTGATCAGCTGCAATGGTGAAGATTGAAGCAAAAAATTTCCAAAATCTTATTTCATTATGGATATCTAAGATGGTCCTAGAATCCTGAGGATAAACAATCAAACAGAAGAAAGAAATGTGCCAACACAAGCACAGAATTGACAAAATAGTGGATGTCCATGAGCCCCCAAACCCAATGGGGGGCTCGTGTAGGTGGAAACAAAGCGAGTTTGAGAAGTATTAAAATCCCTGCAAATTGACAAAACTCTGATAAGCATGGATAAATTTAGCCGGGAAGAATTTGGCAAACTAGCTCACTTTGTCCGCAGAACCGCACTGACCGATCGGGGTGAAATAAAAGGTGTGATCGGCAGAACTTGATCCATCTCCGAGACATGTTGAATTTTCCTGATACCCGAACACAAGCCGGGTTGATTTCAACTTGGTATTGCGTTTATTGATGGTGCTTGGGATGTGTTTACTTACATTGTTTCCAAAGCAGTTGACATACCACTGTGACTTTTCACCATGGATTCTCACTTTTTGTCCAATGTGTGAATAAACACCCTTAGGCACGTACTGATGATGTCGGGGCAGAGAAAATGATCAGATGGTGTTTAGGTGAAGGCTTGTCGGTGTCTGGCATACCTGAACAGCGTAATCATTGTTGGAAACTACACTTTGACCAGCAAGGAATTGGAAAAGATTGTCGTATCTGAGAACAGCTGCGTCGTTCATAAAGCGCGGTGTACCCGAATTGTGAGAGTAATGGCTTTGGATATCGATTTAGCAAGTTTTTCAACAAATCCTCAATCAGCGAAGTAATTCGGTGTTGAGTTCTACCAGTTGGTTGTATGTACTCACACCCAATTTTGTGACCCGAGCTCGAGTGCACAAAGGGCTGCAAGCGCACCGCCCCATCCCAATCCAGTAACGGAGAACAACATTTGCTGTTGGACACCAGGTGTGTGTTATCAGATTTCTGTGGAAGAAGTTTTCTTTGCTTGGTAAATGCTCACTTTACCACCGTTGTTTGTCGAAGTCACGACAGCATTTTTAGCCACAGCAAAATCATTCGTCTCGGCCTTCAGGCGTAGGTATTGGTTTCTGACTCCGGCTGCAACCATGCAGTCGGCACAGTCAGATACAAAGCTAGAAACTGGCGAAAATGCAAAGGTTGGATAGTCAGCTTGGGGTACAAAATACGCATCAGAGGGTTTCAGTGTCACAAACCTGAAGCCGGGGTTAAATCACTGATTGAAGAAGAGACAATCAGCCATGTAAAACTCAAGTAGCATTATAATGAATTTTATGGTCCTGAAGAAGAAGCCAAAACTCAACACGTCTTGGTAGGTTCTTGTAGGTCGAGGAAAAGAAAATAGGATCAGGTAAGGAGAAATAGAGGCGATAGTCAGTGAGGTAAATCAGAGTTCGAAAAAGAAGCTAGCGCGGTACTTACGCGAAGCCCTTAAAAACGATAACGACTTTCTCCTAATTACGAATTCCAGAGATTGCCAATCAGTCTCAATTCAAGCAAGAAAAATAGTTTTTATTGCAGCAACTGTATGCACCATTTCTTCCACTCGAGCGATGTAACCTCCACTGAAATGTTGCAAGACCTGGAAGCCGCCAGGAAATGCTATTGGGCATTTGTGAGAATAGTCTCCGTACGGCGACATGGCTAGATAGCAATGAAATCTATTATTTCGCGTAGCAGAAAATAGCCCCGTTTCTTCAGTACTAGTGCGTCCCAGTCCATCACTGTGTTTGAATTAAATGAAATATTGAGTCACCGAAAATGATCCTGTTGGTCGCGAATGTATTCTCCATTGCGGTAGGACCTGAAGTGAGAAAATTTCCAGTCGAAAGTACAGTAAGAAGTGGGTCCCTTCCAGCCCGTGGATGCTGACAGCGCAAATCACGAACCATTCTGGGTGATCGCCTTGTGGAGGAATCAATCCAGTACCCCTGATGGCGCCATGAGACGCTTGTGTCTTTGTAGTTCCTGTTGTACGAGATGGCGTTGAGCCTCTTACCGTAGCTGGCCTTGGTGTCGATGGTGCTACTGGAAGGGGTGACGTAGTGCGGGGCTGGCTTCCTTGAGGGTGTGAACGTGACAAAGTGATGGACACGAAGAAAACGAAAAGAATGACTAGGTGAAGAATTGGAGACATGATACTAGTGCAGACAACACTGTTGGTGTGGAATGAGGAGAGAAAGGACTGAAGTGAAGGGAAGAAGTCGCTGCGTCTAGTTCCTGGAACTTATGGGGAAAGGCTTTGAGGTTTTCGTGTACATATTATCTTAAAGAGGAAAGAAAATTTGTCGGAGAAGTCACGCTCCTCCTACACTCATCACTTCTTTACATGATACATGCATCATACACACAGCATAATGAGGCCCCTTTCTGCTGTACCAGCGCGTGAGATAAATTGTGCCGGCGGCCAATCAGAAGGAAATTTACGGACCGACAGTCGTCAGTCATATGTACATATTGAAAAGCGCCAAATGGTTCAACCTTGTTGTCACAGTAAGTTTCTGTACAGAAGGGGCTTCAGAGTTCAGATCAACAAAACTGCGTATTTATGTATTGATTACATGTTGTCCAACCAGAAATCAACTCCGCCGCTTGCCAGCAGTCAAATAGCAATCATAGCTGATAGTGGTTATCTTTGAACTTGCACGGCAGGTCCTTGTTGCCCTGTGCGATTGGCCAGGAATGTGCAAAGAATTCACAATTTTTTTGAGTTTTCGCCGCAGAGGTCACAAGGTAATGACTGGCTCAGGGACTCCTTGACGTCTTGTTTTGTAGTAAAGACTCATCAATGTTGGGTCCCTGTGCCAGACGGGTGGCGGCTAGTCCCCACAACTTCGTTCATCTTCAAGTTCCATGATCCGTCCCTCAGGGCACATCGCTGATTAGGTCCTCCTCCGGCGTCCCCTTATATGGACTCGCTGGGTCACTCCTCTCCCAAATTCCCAATTAAAGAAAGACTTGATGTGTGAACGTTTAGCCAACTTCACAGCCACGCAGCAGTTGCAAGGGAAGATTTGCCTCCACCTTCGGTGTCAAAGGGTTTTTTGCATGTGTTGATAAGTTGTTGTGAAGGTGCTGTTGTACAGCTTACATATGTGTTTATGTCGAAAGTAAGAGTCACAAAACTACCGGATCTTCTGCTTTGTGGGGTACAATGTATACATATGTATGTACATACAGCCTGTCAGGCTTCAATGCACAAATTGTACCAGACGAAGAAAGAATCGAGTGCAGAGTGCTGATGGGACAGAACAAGCTTTAAAGTCATAATATGGTTCAATTTTGGGACAACTTCACACAAGATTATCCGCAGGTTGAGTGGCCCAAAAGAAACGGTTTCTGATGTGGTTTGAAGGATTGGTTGGTAGATAACGGTCAGCACAGCTTGAGCTCGAAAGACCAATGTTAGCTCTTGGAAATGACAAAGTCTGTTTGTGACTTAGTTGCGGCAGCGTAGACCATTTGAACATCGGTTTCAAATATCTTTGGCCCGTAAGGGCTGTTTGAACCATGTATTCGCTTTACAAACAGGAAATATAACAAGCGGAGTGTTTGACCGTGAAAGGATGTTGACACCAGCCTTTGTAGGATCATCTGTAGGATATAAGTGTCATCGCGAGACTTAGGTCATTGCAAATGGCACTCATTGACAAAATGACTTCATGCCCAAGAAATACAATCCACAATTTCACCGAGACAAGAAAAACAAAGCTCAGTCTTTAAGAGATGGTTTAGGGGCGCCTCCTAACCCAGCAGCGTGTAAGGTGGCAGTTTGAATTGCCCTAGCTATTGTGCTACGGATGCGACCATCCTCCATTGCCAAGAGGCCTGCGATGGTACAGCCAGCAGGGGTTGTCACACTGTCCTTCAGAGCAGCCGGATGTAAACCAGTTTGCAGCGACATTCGTGCTGCGCCTTGCATGGCTACGAACGACGTCGCACAAGAGGCCCAAGTCAGCTAAATCTGATAACTTCAAAAAACTGGAGTCAACGGGATCATACCTTGAGCAGCTAATTCCAATGCCTCAGCCCTGGGAAGTCCCATCATTACCCCTCCATCGGCAATGGCCTCAAGTATTACCAATGAGAAGGCCGGCCCGGAGGCAGAAACGGCAGTACAGGCATCAAAATGCTTCTCGTCCAAAAAACGACAGCGACTGATGGGCGTAAATAGTGCAAGAAGGATTGCGCGAGTTTGAGTAGTAAATGAGCAATCCGGGGATAGAGCTGATAAGATCGTCATTCCTTCTCGGATCTGTAGTCCAAAATCAACCAAGATTAAATTAAATTCAAACCAAAACAAATCGAATGGCTGGGACTCACTTGACATGGAGTATTGGGCATTGCTCTGACTACCCGAGTACTGGAGGGTACAAATGATCGAAGCTGGCTGGTCGTCGTACCAGCGAGGATTGAAATCAGTAGTTTGTTGGACAGTGCTTCCTGCATGCCAGGTGCACCTAGAACGTCCTTCGCCATCTGAGGTTTGCAGCTTTATTGCCAGAAATTAGAACAATTGTTGGGTTACTTATCCTTTTTGAAAAAACACAACGAAACCTAGTCCTGAGCGAGACGCCTACCCTAGAAGTATCACATCGCATTCGGCTACACCCCGAACATTATCGGACACTCGGACCTCAATATCTTCTCTGCCCAACTCTAACCAACGTTTCTTCAACTTCCGAGCTGATTCCGGTCGCGAAACACACGTAACAAAACGGTTCGGGATCGAGTCCTCCGTTGGCGCATCCACATCAGGGTCAGATTCAGCTGTGGGAGTTTGAGGGACTGAAGAGGATGGTTGGACATCCTTTGGTGTTTTGAGCGACTCGATCACTCCCGATAAGATGGCAACGCCCATCGTTCCACAACCTACATCCGCAATTTGTGACATTTTCAAATCAGCAGGATCTCCAAATTTCATAGGTTGGCTCTCCACTCGAAGAAACTTACCAAGTACACATAGCGAATAAGGCATTTCGGATGAAGCTGGCTCAAGTAACGACTCGGTATGGCAATCAGATTTGTAGTTGCTATCAGTCTGCAGGGTGAAAACTCAAACGGATGCCGAGGGAGGACGGACCGACCGACCTCGGCATCCGCTGAATTTTTCATTTTGAATATCCATTTTCACTCCTTAACCACCTCGTGAGGGGCTTCCGAGTCCTCGGAACATTTTCAAAGTGATTGCTTGTATGGTGTTGTTAATCCACCCTGCGAGAAATGGACACCAAAAGAATAAAGTAAAAATTAGGCCATTATTCTGTCCTGGTTCTGTAAAAATGACCCTGAGGGCTTTGGCCCAGATATTTCACTACACAGTTAGATCTACTAGTATAGTAAGATGGCCATCAATTTTGTGTCTAAACTTTCCATCCTTTTTAAATTTACTTACAAATATGTAGTCATTCATGGCTTGCCCTGGACTGATATGTTAACCAGTGTTAGCCACATATTTCTGGATCACACATTTGACCTTCAGCTCTGAATTCCAAGGTCTGGGTATCAAGCTGGATCATTTAATGTAATGAAGAGGCCTGAAAAGGAATCATGAGACTGACTGTTTCTCTTTTCGCCCCTTGAATATGCAATTTTCTCCTTTTGTTTTTCTTTCATGATGGTTCATCTCTTTCCGATTGGCTAGATTAGAAATTATCTATTCCCACTCTCAGAAATTGTAGTTTCATTCGTGGTGCACCTGGTTCCTGGAGAATTGATCCTCTCCCAATAGTGAGATAATCTTTCTTCCTCAAAAGCCAATGCACTAAACCAGCTCTGATTCTGGAACTTTTCTCTTGGTACAAAGAACTTGTGGAATCTCTGTTCTACTAACCTTCAGGCTGACATATACATCTGCTTATTGGGCTGATGTGACTGCAACCCTGTTCATGTACTTGCACTTAGTCTTCAAAAGGCCATTAATTTCTGCTGGTGGTTGAAAGGGGAGTTTTCTGCAAGGTTCTTAAAATTCATGCTGCCTTCTGCCATATTCAAGCGCTACAAAACTTTCTTGAAATAATGAGTTCCTACAAAATTCAGGGTACCTTCCAGAGGTTTCAACTTGGGACTCTAGGGTAAGTATGTATATACATGGACAATCAATACAAGTTTCTTGGTTTGGGTGTTTCACCAGGAACCATGGGCTTTATGTTTCTGGTTGCAGGGACAGACACTTCACCTGCAACAGAGGACGCAGCTGCTGAAGTGGATGATGATGTTGAAGGTTCAGAAGGTTCCGGAAAGGAGGTGTGACTGGCGAGTTGTGCATCCAAGGCCGCCTGGATATCCTTGTAGATTTCGTCCACTGTGCCCGAAGAGTCAATCTAGAATTTGGTGGTTGAGAACCTGATTGTCAACTCGGTCAGATTATAAGATTGATGAAAGTCTCCATACCTGAACGACTTTCCCTTTCGATGAATAATAATCAATTACCGGCATTGATGTCTCCACAAACGTTCCTAGATGAAGAAACAAAAAAATTAGAGGAAATTCAAGTCAGGATCCACGTTATTCACAATAAGTATTGGGTAGCGGTGGACTCACGGAACCGCTTCTTGATGCTTTCTTCGTTATCGTCTTCCCGGCCGCTTGTTTTGCCTCTTTCGATCAGTCTGGGAAGAAGTTTTTCCTCAGGACAGGTCAAGAAGAGGACCAGAGCAGACTCGCAGATCTGACGATTGGTTATCAAATTTCAAATTTCTTTAGATATTGAGAGCACCATAGTTGAACAGGATCGATCCGAAAGCCGAGCCAGACCAACGTACCTCAGCATCAAATTTGATAGCCTGTTCCATCTCCCTAGGGAAGCCATCGATCAGGAATTTGGTATGGCCGTCCTCGATGGAACGTCCCATGGATTCTTGCATCAACTTCAAGATGATTTCCATCGGTACGATTTTCCCCTCCTTGATATGCTCTTGAATGACCGGTGCGTATTCAGACCCGTCTCGCTGCTGCTCGATTCGTAGTAAATCCCCAGCGGAAAGATGAGTGAAGCCGTATTCGGCCACAAGCCTAGTGCATTGGGTACCTTTCCCTACGGAAGGAATTCACGAAGCAGCTTATTTCGCATCAACTTGAAGTTGAAGGTCTTCTCCATGGTGCCTAGCCACTCTCAGTTGCTTCAACCGCTTATATCTTGGAAAGTGGGAGGAACTCACCCGCACCGGGTCCCCCCAATACAAAAACCACGAGTATCTCTTTGTTTTCGAAGACTGGTGCCATATCTCGAAATTTTCGAAGTTGATTTGAAAGTAGGATTGAGTGAAGACGCTTTTCCAAGATGAACGTTATGAAAGCTATAGGTAAGGTGGGCAAGTGACCAGTGCCCTTGACAGATATATCCTAACAAAGCGGGTGGGCGACCAGTTCCCTTGATAAAATGATTAACTTTGAACTTTTGTGATTCGACCCGGTATCTGAGTAGCTCGCATCTTTAAGGAGAGCAACCAGTCTTGTTCTGAACCATTCTGGGGTAAGACCCTGTACTTCAAGTTAATCCAAATTGAACTGGTCTCCAGCCGACCACTCAGAGTCACTCAGTCACTATGCAGGTTGTTGATTTAAAACTCGAGATATTTACATGGTCGCACTTGGGTCCTATTCTCGGAGGAGCTTATTCATGGGTCTGATCAACCTCGGTCGGTAGCCGGAAGGATAAAGCCTGTTAGATAGCTGCGTCTGTATGGCGTCATCGCGTCATCGCGTCAAGAAGTGAGCCGGGAAGCTAAATATTTATGTTTGCCAAGTGGATCGGTCAATCATCGAAATGGCCTATCCACACAGCTCAACTCAGTTGGACGCCGGGATTCTGAGCAGTGGTAATGAAATATCGACGAGCGGAGTACATAAGAATGCTCAAACGGGTCCCTCTACCAGTGCACTGATCAATGATCGTTAGCCCGACATCATCCTGCGTCCTCTGTTCTCATGTTTCTGTTGATTGCATCGCTGGCTGAACAGGGCCTTCCGGAAATCCCGAATTGGAAAATCATCCCCGCTGAGTGCGTCATCTCCCAACCTCACGGTGTCCGGTCCGGGAGGAGTCTGACGGTCACTCCTCCCGCCGCACCGGCAACGGGTGGTCAGGAAGTGGTCAATTTGGCGCTGTCCCCAGCTATGTAGTGCTGGGATGCCGGCTGTTTAAAAATCTGAAAAGTTTAAAGCACAAACGAGGTTTAAATAGTTGCATGAGGGAAGCCGGTTTCACTACACAGTAGATCACCTGGGGTTAATGAATGAGAAAAAAAAAACACTAGAAGCAAACACGCATTTTTTAGGAGGCACAAAAGCTTAGATGTCGATTGCAATTGGGGAAGAGGAGTTGCAAAGAGACTATATATGGATGCGATACACTACGGGACTTCCAGCACGATTGTGCTCAGATAAACCCGCTATAATCTCCTCCACTCTCCACTGCTTGCTCAACTTTGCACACAGAGAGCCATGAGTGACTCTCATTTTTGGATCATATAATAACTCGGCACAATAATTAAAATAAATTGATCAGACAAGTGAAAGATGAGCAAGCCACAGATAGAGATTACAAGAAAAAAAAAACAAGGATGGAAAGGGTACGAAACAACTGATGATCAGGGACGAAGTGACTGGCAAACTGAAAAACTACTGGTATGTCTGTGCACTGAATTGATATGAATATATATAACTTATATTCGGCCAACATGGTCAATCGCGGACTTCAGCTCATCGCTTGCCGGAGAGATTTTTTATAAGAAAAAAAAGGAAGTTGGCCTGGAGAGATTCCGTACATAAGAGCTAGTAGGGTTTAAATATTTGATCACAATAAGTTTCGAATGGTTGAGCTCGCCGAGTGGATTTTGTTCTAGCAAGTGTTGAAGGTACTGTGGGGCATCTAGCCATGGCCTCCCATTGATCAATCTTTACGCTCGTCTCGCTCGTTGACATCTCTACCAACAAGAAAAAAAAAACATCATGAGATTCGCGTTTGGTTGTTAATTTTTTTTTTGTTAACAATCAGACTTTGAGAAACTTGAAGCTTACCCAAGAGGAATTGTAGGCAGTCTGATGAAACTGTTCTCGGCCTCCAAAAGCCCAGCAGCCGCAATATACCAGGCGATGCTAAGAAAACGACGTTGTCAGTGAGCTTCTCCATGGACCCGTCTAGCCATACTTGTCAACCTATGTGACTTACAATGCGGTGATGATACCTAGAATAGACGACAAAGTTGTTTGAAAGGTCAATTACGCGAAAGTCTTGTAATAATGGTATGGTGAAAAAGAAAAAAACTTACCGAAGACTCCACCGGCCTTGGTAAGTGCTTGAGTATCGGCGCAAAGCTTACCGATCTGAGGGGGCAAAGTGATAAGCTCAGTTTGGATGAAACCTTGCAAACTCGAAAAGATCGGGTAGAGTGATCAATGTACTAACCGCTAGCAACAAAAACGTGACATCAAGGAAAAAAAATAAGGCGATGAGCGCCACCGATGTTCTCAAGGAACCGAGCAGCATCATCGTCTGAATCACATCAACCTAGGTTAGTTTGGAGGATCTCCAACCAAGCTTGTGTTCCAAGGAATCCACTCAACTGTAAAAATGAACTGTCGACGATGAACAACAACAAAGAACGGGGTATATCAGTTGAGGGTCGATCGGGACTGTCGACGGGAAAGTTGACTGACCCATGAAAACAGGTAGAGCCCCAAGGCGCTTTCTAATTCATCTTTCTTGGTGGCGTATGCGGCCAAGATGCCTGAACTTGGAGACAGGATGAGACCGAAGCTGTGTGGGATTTTATTTTGTTTCATATGAGCATGTGATCCAACATGATCGGTGCCTCCAGTGAGATGACCTTACCTGATCCAGAAGCCACCTATTAGTTTCGAAAAAAAATAATAATCAAAATCGAAATAAGTTGGCTGGTTTGTGCGCGTCCAATCTCGACATGTGGCACCCAAAAATCACATACCGTATGAGGAAAAGGCAGTTGCCCCGAACGTGTTCCCTGCATTACAAAACTCAATTTTCAGATCCTTGCTTGGCGAATCAAAAAGATATCTTTTTTTTGTAACCTACCGCAAGCGAATTCCCACATTCCGGCCAGCACCTGAACTATCCCACCTGTTTAAGGCAAGCGACATTCATATAAAAAAATAAATGATGAGTCATGTGTGGCGACATCTTGATCCCGACTTGATGAAGGGACAAAAAACAAAACCAAAAAAGCTGACCATAAGCAAAGGCCATAGAGACAATCAAGTTTTCGGTGTGGATCCCCCGGGTCTGGACGTTGAATAACGACAACAGAAAGGTGGTGGTCGCAAAACCTAAAAACGTATAATGAAAGATATTGATATATGAACTTAAGCTTGCTCCGAGGGATGTTAATGAGGAGGGGCCAAGAAATGACTGACTTGAAAGTCCTAGGGGGCCGGGATTGGCGAACTACACATGACGATGTTTGAAAGAAGCCAAGCAGTCTCCGCCGGTCAGTTGCAGAGATTGAATGTTCTAGTTTGAATCCGGCTATTCCACTGACCTTTCTGAGCGGAGTGGGCACATTGTAGCTACCAGGACAATGGTGAGGGATTTCGGAGTGAGTGCTGGCTAGAGTCATAGGGCGCGGGTTAGGCAAGGTGATTGCGTCGCAGCTGTCTTGCTTCATCACTGGAAAGACGGGCATTGCGAATGCGAGCGGAGCCGGGGGGTTTAAATGGCGTTGAAGGTTAGCCCTGGTATCTTTGATATTTAATTAATGAATGTGAATCTAGAATTCTGAATAGAGTCGACGATATATCGTGCTCCTTGGGGACGGGTGAATTGTGTCTTTTTTTTCCTCTTTAATTTAATAGGGGAGGGGGGGAATACCGGAAGCAAGATTGAAGGGACAAACTTTGGTGAAAATTGGTGTTCTTGAGGTCAATGATAGCTCAACTGACAAGCCCTTAAGAAACAATTTCGAAGGCTGAGTAGTAAGTACAGCAATCGGATCCTGTGCGTTGGGAACCCTGATACTGTTCGGTTTGAGTACATAACGTGTGTGTGGGTGTGTGAGTGATGCAAGGAAATGGGAGGAACAACCATCAGGACCAAACAAACAGCTGGGATGCAGAAGTGGGGGTCGGAGCGTGCTGGGGGGGGGAGGAATGAGTTGCCATATTGTGCTGAGTCACTGACGCGAGGCTTAAGGAGCAAGAGATAAGTTCAAAACTTTATATCCCTGTCGTTCGTTTTTTTTTTTTTTTTGGCGCTGTTTGTATGTCAAGCTTTGTCTGTCGACAAGAATTCTTTTCTCGGTTGGGTGGTATGCGCAATCGAAAAGCTGTTGTTCGGTAATCGGATCGCGAAGCCGGTTGTTGAGCTGTATGATAATCAAGACCAGCAAGCGAGTATATCGTCAACTCACGTACTGACTGTTTTGTAAGAGGGTTCGATCAATGTGTGGAGGGTAGGTAGCCAAAGGTATGCCAAAGTGCTCAAAAGTCTAAAGGGGAATCAACATGAGTTGTAATCAGCGTTGGTTTCTCAGAGGGGTCTTTTAATTTTTATATCTGGATGGAGATGTTTTGGTTACAGTGGTACGGTTGACGGAAATGCTTATTAGTATTAGACCAATATATTTATTTCATCTAAGGAAGCAGTAGTTATTCAGAGGTGAGGGTAGACGACATAGACTGGTTGGGGAGAAGGGTAGGGATGGTCCAACGTCGGAACCATAAACAATCGACAGAGGGCAGATACAGATATAGAACAGTGTCCTTGGGGGGAGATTGATCTATGTAATGCTCCGCATCAACCATCCTAATCCTTAAACTACTCGCAAATTATTCTGAAGAGGAATGCTTGGATCCATCATCCACCGTTGGCGACGAGATGGCTGAAAGAATGCCTAGAGCCAGCCAGCCTGAAGAACAGATGAGTTGAGATACGTGATTTATCTGAGATCTGAGACTCCCTCACGCCTCGCTGCTATTTACTTATTATCGTTAATATGTCGCTGGAGATGGTCCGACACGCAGATGGGGGGAAACATTGCTGGTGGATCTCAAGCAAATGACTCGGAGCAAATTAGGATTGAGAAAGCAGTCCAGTTACCTGGGGAGAGTCGGCACAGCGAGACGGGTGCTTCGAAAGGAGCCAAGTGACGGCTGAAAGAAAGGAGGTAGTAGTCTTGGGGAGTGGAAGTGTGTTTGGAGGCGATTGCGGGGAGATGAAGAGAGGGGATCCTCAGCTGGAAGAAGTCTCCTTATATCTGAGGACTGGCTGAAGGATGGCTGAAGTCTATGTGGTCTGCTGAAGAGGCGGCCGATTTTACGGCGTGAAGTATGCACATAAGCCAACAATCTCTGGTGACTTCGCAACCCGGGCGGGTGAGAGTGGCGCATACAATACGAACAATACAGTTGGATGAGGCCGGCCAGAGCTGGCAAGATAAAAACTCAACCCTTCAGATCAAAACCAACACATTTGACCTATTGTTTATTATGTACTCCTTATGTAGGTGTGAGTTGTGGTGAGGTTCATCCAAGTTGTACAAATGAGTCATCCCGGCCGGATCCCATGGTTTTTTTTTGTTTTTTTTTTTGGCAAAATCCAATTCCAGGATTCAACTAATGGATTAGGAGTCGATCTTTTTGCAGCGATTTCTGCAACAATGTGAAGATAAAGGATTTCATCAACACTGTTCAATCGACGTCGAGGAACGTCCGGCTCAACTCAACTCAACTATCGGGTTGACGCGTCCACGTTCACCATGGACACCTGGGGTGGATGGCACTCGGCTAGCATGGGCTTGGGTCCTGGGCAGTCGACATTTTTACAAGTCTTCATGGGAGCAGTGAGAAGAACAGATTTCCAATCAAGGCTCTGTGCTAATCAACACCCCACCAGTCCACTCAACTCGTGATGAAAACACCAACATTCCACGTACAACGACTTGACGGCGGATAGCGGTGGATCGATTGGATATTACATCAATCGTCCTATTGCCCAACACATGTCCACAGAGTCGTGCTCAAGAGTTGGCGAACCGTGACGTTACATACCTTTGTATTGTTGAGAAGGCTCCGGTTTCGGAGACGAGAATCCACATCGATTGGTTGTTGTATCAATCTTGCCCATTGTTCAACGGCAGAAGTACGACCGAGCACGACCACCTGGATCCCTTCTGAGATATTCTTCAAAGATCAGATGGATGGATGAGCTCGACAGCGGACAAAGATCAGAAATTACAACACACAACACAACATTGTGTTATGTAGCGGAAATACCCAGGCGTGCTGAGCGGACCTTGGTTAGTAAAACCCATTGAATGGGCTGCTGGATTGTCCATCGCTAAAAACTCGTTCAATCAGCAACCATTAAAATCTCATTCACAAGGAGCTTGGCTCATCTCACCACCATTCCTTATTTTCCTTCTTTCTCTGCGGTCATACATACATTTCAATGGTAAACATCCTCTTGGTATGTTCCACGAGATGCGGGTCATCCAGTTGCATCCGGATTTCAGCGGCCACGTCAAGAGCACAAAGGCCCCTGAAAGAATCCTACCACCCCCTCCCTGGTCTTCATAACCAACCACTGAATTCTGGCATCACGATCTGACAGAAAAAAAAGGATTGAAGCAACTGCCGAGAAAAGCTGCGGTGCAGAACGATGTAAATTAATGAGTTGCTATCAGATGGAGTTCAATTCGGATGCGTCTTATTATAATGCACCACCACATACCCCCATCACCAGGATTGATTGTATTGATGTACTCCTGCCAGATCTCCTTGAATTTATTGTTCAAGGCGCTTCAACCTGCTTCAGCGGGTCCGTAATTATCTGTTGTGTTGTACAGGTTGGCCTTGGCAGCATCGTTCAAAACTTGGCATACATTATAAATATTGTATTGTGACGGTTTTGAGGATGTGGAAATCTGATTGAGTTAGGATCTGGTACCGTCTTATGACAGCTAGCGCCTCAGCACCAACGAGTGTCCAAAAGTCACCGGTGGGTGCCAAAAGTGTGATCCCATTCTTTTATGTATGTATCTCCATTTCCAGATGTTCAATGATAAAGATTAGTGTTTACAATATGGAGATGACAGGAAAGATAAGCTGGACTGCAAGAAGCCACAGACACTTGACACTGATAACATTTTCATCAAGGCAATGTGTGAAACGTCAATGATGCAGAAACATTCCTTACTAGGTTTTAGACGGGAGTTGTAGAGGGGGCAGGGGGTCGGGAAGTTGGCCCGAGCTGATCGCCCAGTTACTGCACAGTGTCACTTTGGCTGTCAGTCCCTGGGCCCTTGGAAATCGTGAACCAGCGCTCAGTTCTTTGCACTCGTCAAACAAGGGAGAGACGCGCTTCGGGGGCCTTATCGATGTGGAGCTTGTTCCATCAGATGGCCAGAATTCAATTTTTTCAGGCTTGGCAAACGTCTGCTTGTCCTCCTTGAAATTGATAATCTCAACGAAATTAGTATGTATTGTCAACCTTTTCCGGTGTCTTGGCTAGCGACATTAAAATAAAATGAAAAAAAAACTGATTCAAACGAAGGAAACCCCAAGAGCTTTGGGTCAAGAATAATCCGGCCATGCAGAAAGGACACAGGTTGTTAAAAGATGTACATTTGCGCCCGTCTTTGCTGAATTGACCGAGGGACTATGTATGTAGGGTTAAATTGGAATTAGGAGACAAGGACAGTGTGGATAACTGCCGTGCGTATAAAACTTAATTCTATCGTAGTTCATCTCCTGATCAGAAACAAAGCATATTTTTCAGAGGGGGCTGGCTAGCTTGTGTGAGGGAAAAGAGTAACATGAAACGGTTTCTAGTGGGGGCTTTGAATGTACTTTTCGATAAGTAGAGTTCATCAATGCGAAGTTGCAATCTTGGCGAGGGAGGCAAGTGCTACATAGAACAGTCTTATGAGCCCTCGTTGAAATCACAGAGGGAAGAACCCTAGCCTTGGCCGTGACAGCCCTGCCTGGGCCATCGGTGAAGAAGAGTCACGAACAGATAGCTTTATATTGTCCGACTCGATATTTCAAGTCAAAGCCAAAGTCCATCGATGGTAGTGCGTCAGTTGTGATCTGATTCTGAAGGACGTGATGTCGGAAGCGGCTGACCCCACAGCACATCCGACTTGCCATCAACTTCACTGAAGAGTTGTCCCGACGGTTCGGATGGCACGCTCCGGAGTATACTGGACTCACTAAAACACTTCTTCTAATATCATCATTTATAGCCTTTACCATTCATGAAGTAGCCGGAGGGCCCGAGACTACCTCATTCAAGCAATCCTCCACTCGGGCCTCAATCCGCGGCGACGGTACGGCTTTATTCGTCCAGACCCGCGATCTGAAGACATCCTTCACAGAGTCGCTGGGACTCTTCACGATGGTTGGCGCAATCTTCATGGTATCGGCTGTAGCGGTACAGATAATGACTTCCTTAGTTGGAGGGTGATCGATTTGCTATAAGTAGACAGGTATTTTGGCACCAATATCTCGAGTCAGTTTGCTTCAAGATCTCACTCGGGGCGCGGTGCTTTCTTTCAAAAATTTTCTAGATAACTTGATCCATTCCAACCTATAATCGTTTTGAACCTTGCGACCACCAAAATACACAAATACATTAACACTAATTTCAATTCCTTTCACCCCAGCCGACACGATATAATGATCACTGCGAAGAAATCGCTGTTATGTATCGCTCTTCACGCCTTAGGGGCCAGTCGATTGGTATTATCTGCTCCTATGCAATCGGCGCGCGCCGCGGGTACGACAACTGTTATTCTCTCATTTGTCGAAATTTTGTCAGCCAGTGTGACTCACTTGTTGATCTCTTAAACTCCGGCTCTTTTCGTATAGATGACGTGGCGCATCTGGGCCGCCAATCTGCAGGCCTTCATGGTGAAGAGATCGAACAAGTGGGAGTAGGATATAATGCAGCCGGCCAATCGAGCAGCGATGTGCAACGTGGAATCGGCCATGAAATTTCAGAAGACCGAGGTGAACAACATCATCTGCTTTCCTCTAACACGAACAGTGTAGCTAAAACTTTCTGTGTATTTGAAGGGAATCATCATACATCCGCAAAAGAATCCATCGATTCGGAAAGCGATAAGATTGGAGATATGGACCAGGTAATCCGAGAAGAATACCGTTATATTTCTGATCAGGATTTAGCACGGCTTATGTCCAGTATGGCCGATCTTAGTGATTCGGTCACACAAAAAGGTTTGTCCTACCTTCTACCACGCATAGGCCATCTTCAGAAGATGTCAAACAAGTATACTGCCTGGATTCAAAAGTTAGAAATGAATAAAAACATCTATGAAAAAGGATTCGTGCAAGGTATTAAGGAATAATGGTTCGAGCTCGCAAATGCTTTGAGGGAAGAATTGCCACATTAAACCTGCTATAACGTCTTAGATGTTCAGGTCTTTGTTCAGGAAGATCAAGGAACCAAAATCAAAGCAGAAGAAAGCAAAAACTATTGAACTGCATCTAAACTATGCTTTTTGATTGTCATAGAGCGAGTTGTTAATTCGTTGATTAATTTTACTGTGTTGTTTTTCTTCCTGCTCTTATTTTTGGGGTTAGTAGCATATTTTTAGTTGACCTTTTTGTGATTTTCTGTTTTTTTTTTTTTTCTCAGCATAATGGTTTTGAATTTAACACTCAAGCTTATTCATTCTTAGAACAGTTAATCAATTCAACTTTTCTCTTGAATTGCTTCTTCCAAAACTTCTTTGCTAAATGTTGATATTGCTATGCTTGTATCTTGGGTTTACATGGTAACAAAACAGAAGCTATTTTACAATTGTAGGCTTGGGATATTCTACTGAATTCAATCATAATGATTCTGGAGTTTCCTTTTGAAATTCATCAGTTTATTTCATTCTTTTATCAAGTTTATGGGGTGGATCAGCCACTTGCATTCCAGTGCATTAACATTTCAAGTGCCAATGGAAGCACTCCACAATATCATTTCCCAAAGAAATAAAACCCAGAATCACTATCTATTTCTAAATATATATTTATTGAATTTCAAGTGAATTAGTTTTGTTTTTCATTGATATTGAGCCTAAAGAGTCTTGAAACCTAAGCATACAAGGAGAACTGGGCTTATAAGCCGTCTTGACTGGTAGAAAGATGATTGGCCACTCCTTGAGGAGAGAATGTTGTGATTGAGTATTTACCTTGAGCTTGGAATCTACACTTTTTTCCCTTAAGAAACAGGGGATGTCACTGTGTAATCACATCTGGAATTGAATAACTCAATGGAATCAATTGAATGGGTAAGAAGAAATTTTAGCAATTCAATGGGGAGTGGGACTTGTTTTTTTGATGATCTGATTTGCCTGGTGGAAAACCTAACTTAACTAAGTCCCCCCCTGGTGGGAGGCTTGCTGGTGTGAAGCACTGGCTGGTGGCAAAGCCACCCCTCCCACAGGGAGGGACTTATGACTAAAGCGGGGGTGCTTGCCTGAGAGGATCTGGAAAACTCATCCAGTTACACAGCCTGCAGCTCTCTGGTTTTTTGAGCTACACATGTGTTTCCGCTGAAGAAGATCTTCTTTAGAGACTTGCATTTGCTTCTATCAGCTCAGTTTTGCAAGATTTTCTGTCAAACAACAAAGCAAACAAGAAACATAACTCATAATATTGTCATGCTCAAGCCCACAGGCTTAATTGCAGCAGGACAGATGATGTCTTGACTCCCTTCAAAAATACACTTAAAATAATCATGTTAGTATTTTGACAAGCTGATGAGTTCTAAAAATTGACTTGATACACAAGAGTCAACTGGTGCTAGCTGAGACCAACAGCTTGTAAACTACAGGCTGGAAAATTCAAAGAGTGAATTTCCAGCCTGTTTTGGTGAGTGGGTTCAGGCGAGCACCCCCACATAGTTTGCGAGTTCCTCCCTGCGGGAGGGGTGGCTTTTCCACCAGCCAAACTTAAGCTCCACCCAAAACCAACCTCACGCAAAGGGAGAGACTTTGTTAAGTTAGTGGAAAAACCTAGCTGCAAAAGTCCCATTAGCAACAATGGGCTGGTATGCTACACTACATTAAAAGACCCACCAACTTGAGCGTGGTGGCCCTTGAAACAGTGTGCCACACATGTAGTGTTACCATGCTGTTAGTGCCACTTTGCTATACTGCACTACAGCACTTTTAGCAGCAAAAACAGCTCAGAAAATGCTAAAACCGAGCTTAACATAGTCCTCCACGGCGGGAGCGGTAGCAAGCAGCGGAGCTGTCCACACCAGTGGAGGCCTATGCCCAATGTCGCAAGGCCCGCATGGTGAGTTTTCAGAATCCGACTGAAAACTCACTTTTTTGTGTGTTTTCCACTCTAAGCACTCCCTTAATCATACTCATCTAATTTCCTCCTGGGACAGGGGAGGCCTGTGTCTTGCCCGTATTTCCCTGTGTTCAGTTTTTTTGGTTATGCTTGTTAATCATTTATAAAAAGTTTTTGAAAAGGTTGACTTTTCAACTCAACTTGGCTTCTTTTGGTGGGCCCAAGTTGAGCAAAGCCCACATTTGAGCTCAAAAAAAGTTCAAATCATAATTTTAGAAATTTATTATTAATTACAGTTTTGAGGTGCAACTTCTAAGTTTTGGCCTGATCAACAAGATCAGGCAGGTCTTCAAAAATTCCAGACCAAACATCAAGAAAGTTTTGAGGGAGCTTCTTGATTCCAAATCTTATGACGCTCCCACCAAAACGCCTCAAACTCAGCAAGCAAGTCAGGCGACTTTTGTCCCAAGTCCCCCCTGCGGGGAGTTCCCTTCGGGAACCGCCTGGCCAGCGCTACATACGCTGCCAGATGCGCCCCCCGCAGCCTGAGACTTGCGACAAGTTCATGCTAAAAGTGCTTTAACACAGTAGCAGGCACTTTTTTGCGGCCCAGACTGAATTCCGCTGTGTGCACCAACACGACCATTAGCATAGTGGGCCCATTGTTGCAATGAGGACTTGACAGATATACAATTCACAGATCAATTGCCATTACATCATTGCATGAGCTGTGAAATACCCCACATGCCCAATTTCTCCCCTTGTCATCGTTATCAACTCCCCCTATGCACTTTGTATGGGGGATAGTATGTCTCATTTTCAGACAGATACATGATTCATCCCTCTTCACCCTCACTGATCAATGGGTGTGCAGAGCATAATGTAATTTCTGTATATGGGTTGTTTCTACTTGGAAAAAAAAAGAGAACAGTGGGAAAAATGTACTTTCACATTTTTTTGTTTTGATTTTCCTTTTCTTGCTTGAATTAGAGAAATAATTTGAAAGGATAACCTGAGCTTTTTGAGTGAAAAAGAAAAAGAAAGGGAAGAAAAAGAAGGACAACGTCCAGAATGAAGCAAAAATATTAATTCAAGAAGCTGACACAGAGGCAGAGTATAAAGAACAACAGGCCAAGTGATCACATACTTTTTCATCCGGAAGATGTTGAGGAGCATACTTGAGATAGTGAGGAAGACGCCGAGCCAGACGTAAACAGCTACCCTTTGACGAATAGGATCGTCGAGTTTAGAGACCGTGAACGCCAGTGTATAAGCCGCGAAAGCCAAGACTCCATCTGAAAACAGAAAAGGGACGCGACATTCAAAGTCAGCACGTCAGATTAGACTAGTGCAGGATAGCAAAAATAACTAAGATGGGACTCACAAAGACTTGCGATAACTTGAGTTTCTACACCGTATTGATTTGAATATCCTCCAGCAATGTAGGAGGGAGCTCCGTTGGGCTGTTTGACCATGTAAGGTGGTGATCGAATTTGACACCACATCTGTCCTGAGATCATGAGTAAGATGACCGGCTACGATTGAATGATCGATCAATCGAGGTTCAGCACTCAATTATGGTTAAAATTAATGGTAATAATAAGACAAAGGAAGGCCCACCAGGAGTGCAGCAGCCCAGATGAATCTACTGGTCAGGACGAACTTGACTAGAGGCCATGCAACCTTAATGAGGATGATGGTAGCCAAGAGGATACAAGAGGCGGCAAAGATCCGTCCATAATTGGGTGGCCTTTTGAAGAAGGGTGGTAAGTTAGCCGAGTTGATCGCCCAGTCACTGAATAGTTCGGCCGTCAGACCGCGTGGACCACCCTTATTGAAATCGTAACTCAGTACTTGTTTCTTCACATCCGTGACTGCCTCTGGACCCTCGTTCGCAAGGAAAGTACGCGCTTGAGGGGCCGTATTCAGACCAAGCTTTTAGGTGCATAGGAGAGTCTGTCAGATTCACTCCGGATCCAGATCTCCAGAGTCAACTCTCTCTCTCTTCTCACCTTGGTAAACGTATTTTTCCCCTCCTTGAAATCGAGCATCGCAAAGAAGTGAGTATTCCGAATCTTAGTCGGTTGTTTAGCCCATTGACGGGCCAACAATTGATACTCCAAATCAAATATTCTGAAAGTCAAGAAAATCAAGTTGAGTGTTCAGTAATGATTCCCTGCAGGAGAGAGAATGTGTATATGTGTGGGTGGGTGGGGGGCAGACTTACTGACAAGGTTGACACTGGAATTGCGATCCGAGGGCAGTGAGTACGACTGTGACTGAGAAGTTCCTCGGCCCAGAGATGATCTCGTCGTATAGTTTATCGTTCAGAGGTGCCACGCCTTTCCCGGCTTTGGTCAGGGCAATCAGTTTCGACAGTGGATCGTTGTTGGTGGCTGACTGTACTTGTATCTGGAGGAAAGTCTGGCTGATCAGAAGGAGTGAGATGAGGGAGCTCGAGCAGGTTTTGAGGAAAGTCATGCTGTCGTGAGCTTGTATTCTGTCTTGGTGGTGGTTGGTGGTGGTGTTGCTGTGTGTGCAGCCAGCTGTTGGTGATCGAGGTTGATGACCGAGTTGAGTTACTTAGTGTGTTCGGTAAGTAGTCTACCCAATTCGGTAGGACGTCTTCCTAATCTTTTCACTGCTGTCCATCTCTTCTCCAAGACCACCCTTTACTTTTCCAATGTCATCTCTTCACTGAACAAGCTCAAAACCTGGTACGTCCCTATTGAGAACTTCCTATGATTCAAGAACGTCTCAAGCTAACCAACTTCTTACTTTGGAAACTTGAACCCTCCCTGGATTGGGTAGATACTACAACCCTTCGTCGATTCAGGACGCTACTACGTACATATACTTACATAGACGAACGAGAGCGATCCACAAGTGGATGGATCAAAAATACACTCAAGCTTAACTCAAAAGACGTACTTGACCATTCGATCCCTCACTGAAAACCCGTATCTTCAAGACCATGACCGTCGGTTCTATCGCCTTCTCCGCTCCGGAGGGAAGCTACTTCTTCGTCATGGATCTCAACGTTCAACGCGGTGGGAGTGCTGGTGGGAATGGCGGTGGCACTGGTGGGAGCAGTAGCGGTGAAGCCCACCACTCGAAATCATTCAACAGTTCTGTCTCCAACATATCTGCCTCTTCCTCCAACTCCAACATAACCCCCATGGCCAACAACTCGCTCAATCAACCCAATCTCAACGGAAACCAGACCGGAACGAGCTCGAATACGTCCAACGCACCCGCAGCCATCGCTATTACTACCAATTCTGCACCTCAGATTCCGATCGTCCAGGTCCCTGCTGTACCCGGCATCCCTGCCAATGCTGATGTCTCTCAGAACCTTGTAGCCCCACCACTCTATCCTTGCTCACTGGCAACCGTCATCATCAACTTCCCACCGGTGCCCCCACCCAATCCATTCCCTCATCCCGGCTTCCTCACCGCCGCTACAAAGTATGCTCGATCGAAAGACACCGCTACCGATCCGTTGGCTAATGAGTCACACCCTAACGAGCAAACCGACTCGAATGCCTCCTCCACCGACGACCCATCAACCTCCTCAAGTAACACATACCCTTCTTCTTCCTCAAACAATCAAGCCGGTGGATCGTCCGAAAAGACTTCACTACCTCCAAACAGTCGCTCAGTTGCATCCCCCATCAAGAATCGTGCCCTGAATTTCTCCTCTACTTTATCCTCACTATCGAACGCGTCAAGGAATGGGACACATTCCTTAAGCTCATACGCTACCAATTCGCAATCTAATCTCAACCCACTTTCATCACGTCCTCGCGCTGCATTCAAAGGCTCTACCTCGACCTTCATCAAATCTTCCGAAGGTTTACCCTTGCCACAATCAGTCATCAAGACCTTCTACGGCTCATCCTCTGAATCTTCCTCCTCAACAGGTCGCGATGAAGGAGAAGAACGTACTTTTGCCTTCTACACCTGGAACAAATCCGTCATCTTTGCTCAGCTCTCACCCTCTCGTCCGGCAGGCGAGACCTTATTCCGCCTCAGTTTTGCTGCCAATCCGACTCACGTCAGCGTCAATCATCACACGGTCTCGGCGACCTCTTTGGATGTCGTCATCGGCTTCTCCACCGGTGACCTGATCTACTTCGATCCGTTCTGTGCACGATATACCAGGCTGAATAAGGGTGGATGTATCTCAGGCTCGGCGGTGAGTAAGATCGAATGGCTAGCACCGACGGTCACTCGCCGGGATGGTCACTTCGTCTCCTCTCACGTCGACGGAACGTTGATCTGCTGGGATAAAGAACGCGAAGATTGGAACGGATTTGTCGTCGACCCCTGGCCCAAAACCCAGCAAATCCATTCTACCCCTCATCCCTCAGCTCCCCATCTTCCCTCATCCCCTCTCAATCGTAAGAAACTCAATAACCATCCGCCCCGTCCTCATGCCGATCCTAGAGACCATGATATCCTCATCAGCGGCCTCAACCACAACTTGCCCATCGAGAAACGTAACCGATTAAATCCAGTCTCTCATTGGAAAGTTAGTCGGAAAGCCATTACAGGTGTGTTTCTTTAGTCTGTTCCGCCACCTCCCTCATCTTTTACCCCTCCTCTCTCTCTCTCCTTCTCACTATCTTAATACGAACGGGCTTGATATTTATTCATACCAATCAGATCTCTCTCTCTCCCCCCTCCATCCATATCTTTTTTTCGGCTCGCAATCCATCTAGATTTTGCGTATTCGCCTGATTCTAAATTCTGTGCAATCGTTAGTGAAGATGGTTGCTTGAGGATCATAGATACTTATTCAGAAAAGTTTGTCAATCTCTTCTCTTTTATAGCATGTCACACTACGCTCCTTTTTTTTTACTTTCAAGCTTGAAAACAGGGGGGACAGCCTATCAATGCTGATTATGCGTCAATATTTTTTTTGTATCTATAGGTTGCTGGATACTTATTTGAGTTATTTCGGGGCTCTACTATGTGTTTGTTGGTCTTCGGATGGTAGATTTGTCTTTGTGAGCGCTTTTTCCTTTAGAGCTAAGACCACATAATTAGCTAACCTGATTTTGATTGTACAAATTTAAAAGACGGGTGGACAAGATGATCTGGTGACTGCTTATTCGCCGATCGAACAGAGAGTGATCGCACGCTGCCAAGGACATGGTTCATTTGTTACCGGATTATCTTTCGATCCTTGGTTTAGTGATGATCGCTCTTGTCGATTTGCTTCAGTCTCTGAAGATTGTAAATTGATTTTTGTAAGCTATACAAATTGACTTTTCTTTCAGAAAACAAAACACATACATATATATATATAAATACCTCTCTGGTCACCATTTCCATTCAAGCTGATCCAAACAAACTTTTTTTTGTAAATAGTGGGATTTATCAGGAGCATCGTTAGCAAAACCACGTTTACAACAGATCAATAGCCAAAGTAACCACGCTACCAGTCGACGTCAATCACTAGTTTCGAACGGCTCCTCGCCGGTCCACCCCCATCAGAGCCAACATAACAACCATACGAGTAGTAGTGTGGGCAGTTCGGGGAAGAACCACAAGCGGGGGAAAGTCGGCTTGGTCGATAGCTCAATCACCCTCCCTGCTCCTGCCATCTCCGACCAACCTCGACATCGTCTTCATCTTGATCAACAGTCTAATACGTTTGGGGTTCCGTTGTATAACAGGGATTTCCATTCTGCTCCTGGTAGGAATGAGGTGGCTATCTTACAACCCGTCATGGTAAGCGTTCCTTTTTCAAGCCTTTCCTTCTTCTTCTCTCTCTATCTATTTCCTCAAAAAAGCTCCAGCTGAGTTTAAGTTTTTTATTTTTACATTTGTTATTTTTTTAAAAAAAAAGGTTAAAGAGATCGGCATCGATCCATTGAGTTCGATAAATTATCATAGAGATTTGGTTGTAGTTGCTTCACGGACCGGGCAGATCAATGTGTTTGGAAGACCCACACCACCTCCTGCTCCTCCATCACTCCATAACAACAGTGATTCTACTCATTAAAATTGAAAAAAAAAATCACTATCTGCATTTAACACTAGGTTTTCTTTTTTGTTCATTGTACTTGAATACTTATTCCTTGTGTTGATTCCCAATTGTTGAAAACAAAAAAAAAGTACACTCTCTTCTCTCCAGCTCTGTCTTTTTATATTTTTACATATATAACACATGCACACTCACACAAAAAACCCCACCTGACCTCTTTCCTCCTTTCCCTGGGTTATTTCTGGATATCTCCTTGTTTCACTCAATCTGATATACATAAAAGTTCTTTTTGTTGTTGGAAAATGAAGTGTGATTTTTTTCAATATCAAGTTCCTCTTTTTTACAAAAAAAGAAATTCTTGCTCAGACATTCCTTTGGTGTGGCTTACACTTTACCATGATGGTAAGCTTTAAAGATTCTTTGGATTCACAATTTGAAACATTTGCTTGTGTTGAATGCAAATACAAGTTACAACATACATGAGCAGAGATGTGCTTTTCTTCATTTATTGATCTTTGATCAATCATTAGGAATCAAGAGTTTTTTGTGTTCCCCCAAGTGGCCCCTTTTGAAGGGGTTGTCAGTGGACAAATTGCAGCATAAAGATTCAACATTGTGTTCATTGAGGTTTTGTGTACTCACCACATAAATAGCTAGCTGGAGAATGAATATTCAAGCTTACTTTTGTGATTTGAAATCATTTGCCATTTGTTGATGATTGTATTATTTTAACCAATTGGGTCTGAATTTATAATGCTAAAAAAGTTGATTGCCATGTCACATTGTTGGCGTAGTGGTGAGTTCATTCCACTTCAAGAGCCCATTGTGCTTGGAACAGTCATCAGGAAATCCAAAGTTACATGTTCAAGCCCCATTACAAGCAAAACATTTGAAGGCCACCTTTGTAACAAGCATGAAAAGCTACATCATCATTGTCTGTGCTCTCAGCATGTGCTGGCTGGCTGTTGCCCCTGACCGGTTGTGTTCTGGGTGTGGAGATGCCCTCACCCCCCAGGCTAAACCAGGAGAAAAGAAGTTTCAACCGTGTTGGGGTGGAACTGATGAATCCCAATGCCCATTCCATGTAGAAATCACTGTCTTTGGATGTGATCGGTGCCCCAGCACAGTGTGGTCAGCTAAGAAACCATGCAGCAATCAACATGTCCTGAATGATTTTATCAGGGCTTGGAGGGTTGTTGGCTCTTCCACAACACATACTCATGCAGAATAAAGCTTTCAAGAGGCTTGTGCCATCATGCATATGTATCCCCTGCTGGAATATTTTCTTTTATTTCCTATTACAGAACTAAATAACATAGATCATCATGGGCAGTTCACATTCCTGCCAAACAGCTCTTGATTTTTAACAATTGTATTCAAATTAAGCTTGCCTGTGTTTGCATTTAGCAACACTAGGACAGCTATGCTAATTAGTGCAGTGTAACATAGCAGAATTCTGCGAAACTTCAGTCTAGTGTAGTGGAATTCCGCCAAGTCCACACTAACACTACGTGTGCAGGCCCTTAAAAAGTGCCCGCTGCGCTGTGCTAAGGTGCTGGTTAGCAGCATTTTGGCCCTGTAGAGGCTGTCAGCAGCCTGTAGCACAAGGTAGTGTAGCAAAAAACCACCAACTGTTTCCTAACACTACACAATTTTGGTGTGCAAAAAAAACCACTACACTAACACTTTTTGGGCAAAAAGTGTAGTGTAGCTTAGTGGCCCAGTGTTGCATTTAGTATTTTTTTCCACATGAAATTTCAGTGAACTACCCAGAATTCATTCAAAAATCAGGTCTAAATCAAAATCTGAAAAGGCTCCAGAATTGATGGTCAATCCTCCAATTTCACAATAATGCCACAACTACCACACAATTGTTTGTATTTTGGCATCTCTTGTTCTCATTCTTAAAAAAAACTCTTCTAGTTTTCCTTTCAATCTCTCAAGTATAACTGCTTGATCAATTGTATTATTTCCTAGATCTCCTCATGATAGTCTATTTTCTCTTCTTCATTTTCTAGTCTGATCACCAGTCTTTCAGTCACATAAACCTGACTAATTAAGGCTTATATTTCCCTTATCTTCTTGAGTTTTAGGCTTCCTTGTTGCTGTTGCTATTGTTTAATGTACCCAGCTGTCCAATCCATCTTCACTTATTCTGCATTTGCATGATTTCAGAGTTTCAATAGGGTTTCCTGATGTATCACCCATAGCTCTCCTTGGTCCCCTTGTCTCCAAGGCTTTTCAAGATGGGTGTATGAGGGTCTTGGGAGAGAGCCTTCTTCTAGGATCTCTTTGGTCTGCCAAAATAGCAGCTCTCCTTAAAAAGGAGGAGGGACCGCAGCAGACCTTTGTGGCAGAAGAAGTTTCTCTTCCTGCAACAGGGAGTATAACAGAGGGGTATTGTGCTGAGCCCTTGAACTCAGGGTTAAAGCCTGAGCCTTGTGCAAACCCCCAAGCTTCAAGCTGTGTTCTGCTTCATGACCGGTGCTGAATTAGCTTGGCATCAATTTCACATCAAATTCCATTGTAAGTCTAGTGTTGCCAAAGGATTTAGAGGGCTATCAAGCTCTTTTGAGGAGTAATCCCGCAGTTAAAGCCCCTTGACAGATAAATGGAACCCTTTAAATGGAGTTCAGAGGGCAAACCAATGGACTTCAATTTATGCTTCCCAGTGAAACTGTTGGAAATCTGTAGTTGTTGTGACATGCCCTTCTCTCTCTGTCACATCTCTGTCATTCCTTTTCATCTGTCACTCTTTTTCTTACAGTTTCCAGATGAATATTCATCTTTTTCACCTTGTGCATAACTCAGAAAATTTTGTATGTAGATAAATTGCCATGCTTCAGAGTTAGAAAATGAAAAGCATCTGTTCTTCTGCACCTGATCTGTGGAGTATCTACTGGATACAACTCCTTGTAGCATGTGTGCTTTTACACCACAAAAGCTAGCAGACTTAGACCTGTTTGAGGGCTCTAAGACCTTGTTTTCTCCTCTGAGCTTTGCCTTGAGGTTCTTCATCAACTGGTCTCTTCTCCATTTCTCCAGCCAAAAATCTTGATTTCCTTCAACACTGGGCTGATATGCTAAACATCCCACTAACATTAGTGTAGCAGCCCTCAAAACAGTGCACCAAACCCGTAGTTTTAGGGCACTGTTAGTGCCACTACGCTATGCTGTGCTACAGCTCTTTTGGAGTCGCGGTCCCTTTTTTGCCACCCACCCGTGTAGCGTTGTGGTGTGCTGTGTGTTGAAAATTCACTTGATCTTTCTCCTTTTTTCTTCTGACATATTTTTTTATTCACTATTGCTGCTTGTCCCTTATTCAAAATATTTCTCCCACATCTTGACCACATTGTATGTAGACTACTTAAACCATCTGGATGCTAAGAAATTGCAGCCATTTGTTCTTTATTCTTTTTGACCGTTCCTGAAGGAGCACTTGAGCCCTTATTCAGTATTGTCTGGGAGCACCTTATAGCCCTTCCGGCAAATATCCAAAAAAAGTAAAATTCTTTTCTTTTTTAGGCCTTTCCTCCAAAAATTCAACAGGGGGGGGGGAGTGTGGTTATCATTCCCCCATTGGCAATGAAATGGCAGACTTACTTGCAAAAGAGGCTGTGGATAACCCTGCATCCCCTGTTTTTACTGTTCAATGGAATCACCAAAAGATCACTCAACTGGCGACCACTGAATTGCGCACTGTGGGTGCTGCCTCCCCCTCCTCGTTGCCAATTGCCAAGACTTCTGCGATAAATCAACTTGCCTCCGGCCATTGCATGCTGAATTACTTCCTCTTTCACATTAACAGGCACTTTGACCCCATTTGTCCCTTCTGCCCAGGCAGGGACACTCCCATTCATCTTTTCAATTTCTGCCCTTCATTCAAGACCATCCGATCCAATCTTTGAAGATCTTTACAAAACTTAAATATACGATTCCATCCTGATTGAAGGTTACAGCCTACCCAACAATGCTTGCAACTTTCTACAAACCCAACAATGCTTGCAACTTTCTACAAAAAAAAAATAAATAAAAGGTTTGCTTGAGCCAAAACAATATTTTAATTGAAATGTCAGTTGGCTGCCTGTTGGAACTCTCACTGTGTGATAGCAGATAGTTGAGTTCTCCTGATTTTCCCACCCTTCATACTGTCCCATAAGCCAAAAAGTTTTTCTTTGCAAGTCAAACCTTTGATTTTTTTGTCAAAAGTTGCAAGCATTGTTGGTTTGGATGTATGCTCTTGAGAAGGGCGGACCCTGCTGTTGCAAGATTCCTCCAAATGACTGGAGCCAATTTTTAGCTCTCAATTCTGTCTTTTGATTTGCTTGTACTCTCTTCCTTTTTCTTCTGTTTCTTCTCTCTTTTTCTTTTTCCTTCTTCTACTCTTGTCATCTTGATCTCCCAGATTTTCTTCATGCTGTTCTATTTTCTCAGCTTCTCTTCTTCTCCTGTAGTGTATTTATAGATAAGATTACAGTAGATTCATAGTGTGCAATGCCATAGGCCAAATTGCACTTTTTTTTAAAAAAAAAGAGCTACATGTATGGTTCTGCAGAGAGAAAGATGCACTTGCATCCTGGCTTGCTTTCTGTCAGCTCCACTGTTGAAGAAAAGAGCAAAGCAGAAAAACAAGAAATAAAAACTTACCAGATTTGATGGCCTGAGATGGGTGTGGTCTTGACATGTCTTGACAGGCTTCAAAAATTTGCTAAAAAAACCCCTTGTGGGTATCTAGCTGAGGTTTTAAGTTCTAAAAATCAACAAGGTACTGCTGGACTTTCTAGGTTCTGGTAGCTGGGATTGGCAGCATCAAAACTACTGGCTGGGAAATTCAAAGAGTGAATTTCCATCCTGTTTTGGTGAGTGGGCTCAGGCGAGCACCCCCACATAGTTCTTAGGTGCCTCCCTGCAGGAGGGGTGGCTTCGCCACCAGCCAAACTCAAGCTCCACCCAAAACAAACCTCCCACACAGGGAGAGACTTTGTTAAGTTAGATAGCCAAGTGGAAGTGGACTCCAACCCCCTCATTGGATAAGAGATCCAATTGCCTGCATTCCGATAGACCCCAGATTTCCTTGAACCTTCCAACTGTATTGCTGTTGAGGGATGCCAAGGACAGGACCCAGGAGAGCGCGCCCAAACAAAGATCTTCATCAAATGGGTCAAACTAATTAATCAGAAATAGAATAAGTGAAAATTAACCACTCCTCCTAGGAAAAGACCGAAAAACTCATGAGGCCTGCAAAGATGTGTTTTGTCCAGAAAAAACGGGATGAATTATATAACTTCTATCCGCACAAAATAAAAGGCAAGAATACTCGAAGTCCAAGTGAAACAATGAACAAAATGTGTATATATGTAAATAAATATATATATATATATTCCACAAGTAGAGAAAAGTGAAGGATGTGGTTCCAGGAGCAAACCAAGAGTGAGATAGGGTGGACGAGATCAACTGAAAGTTTTCATCAGGCCCCAAATGCCCCAACCGGAGAAGATAGGCAAGACGAGATTATCGTCCCAGCCGAAGAAGTCGAAGGACTCGGCGAGAGCGGCAACGAGACCACAAGCGATACTTAAGGGGGCGATAGGAAGGATAGAGTTGGGAGTCGGGAGTTGGATGCGGGTGAGGAAAGAGGCCAGGAGTGGATTGAGAGATGCGAATGGATGGGCTCTTCTCGGAAGGAGTACGTTGTATGATGATGATGGTAGCTCTACCCCGCTCCAACTGTATCCCTCTAATCCTCCTCGTCCGGCCCACATCGTCCAGAAACTGTAGGCCGTCGTCGTGCCGACTGTCATGGCTCCTAGGAACCCTGCTATCGACTTCCGTCGAGCAAATGGTGGACTCGGCAGGCGGTTTTGTTCCGTGCCGTATGTTCGTCCTATCAATGAGGCCGCCGTGTCTACCCACGATAGAATCAAGATCGATAAGACGCTGATATCTGGAATTTCCAAAACAAAACACAACAAATCATCAGTCCTCCCCCCTCCTTCAAATAAAAAAATTGGGATTGTCATACCTAAAGGTAGAGTACTCAAGCTAGTGATCACACCAATCAGATAAAAGATGACCCCGTTCCAGTTATTTTTCTCATTAGGCCTCATGAGGAAGCCTAAGACAGATTCATAAAAACGCGCAAATCTAGTCGAACGAAAGCGTAAGAGGTCGGCAGAGATGATGATGATCAAGGCTTTACTGAGTCCTATGGTGATCTTGGGTGCAGTGGTTGAGCCTTTGATCCATTGATGAAGCGTGATGAATCCTGTAGATATAAATGAAATCATCAAACCATTCAGAAATGATTAGCTCGTATGGGGAGAGTTCTATAATTCGCCCTTACCGATGCTCGTGTGGAGTACTTTCCTGGGTACTTCCCATTTGATAGACCATTTACGGAGCCTATTCAAGATGGGTTCGATGTTCCTCCTTCGAGTATTAAGGTTAGCTTTGATGGGTGAGATCTTGTCGACCTTACGTCGTTTGTCGATCGAGAGTTTCTTCTGGGGGATGGCGGTCGCGGGGGATGGATGAGGATGGTTGGTTTTGGATGGGCTGTTTCCGATCAGTTTTCGTTTCCGTGGTGATGATAGGTCTTCCTGTTCGTGTTCGGTTGGGGAGACCATCTTCAGCTTGGTGGTTCTTGGCAGTCTTCAACTTTCCTTTGACCTGAGGCTGTGATGGTGCATGTATGTGTAGGTTCCTCGCCCCGGGGGTGCGTCAGTCCCCCGAGCCATGTCGGTCATCCCCTGATAATTTGTCAGTTCGGGATTATCCCTCCTCCTACTAAGACCAGAGATGGCTCAACTGTTACTGTACGCCTCAGGCTCTAACTCACACGGACAACTAGGAACGAGGAACCTCGAAGAAGAAGAAGAAGAAGACTTACACGAATTCACTAACACCCATCAATGGAATCTTCATCATCAACAGCCACAAGGAGAAAGAGAACAACAACAACCAATCTCATCGTCCATCGGAGGTCGACACTCCCTCTTCTTGATCAACCATCCAACTCGTCCTGAGATCTACCTGTGCGGAGATGAGAATCAGGGCCAATCAGGACCTAAGATCTCATCGATAGCACCTTCACCATCGATCGGAGAAAACGCGCCATCGATCATCAACCAGAGTAGCCAACCCTACGATACTAATAATGAGTGCAGCAGTACCATGAAGATGATTGACTACCTGAAACTGATCTCAATGACTTCGAATATCGATCGTGAGTTGAAAGAGTTACTCGGACAACACTATCGGCCGGTCCAAGTGACAGCTTGTTGGGAAACTAGCTTTGTAGTTTTATCTCCACGATCTTGCGGTCCAAGCACGAAGGATGAAACGAGGATGGAGGAGGAGGAGATCCAGTACGATGACGAGATCCTAGCCTTTGGATCCAACGACTTCGATCTGAGAGGGTCGGCCAAGAAGGAGACCCTCCCCGAAGATCCGGGGACCCCGAACCTGGTCGATCTCCCCCCCTCCGTCGGCCGCACAGGCTCCGGAAGGAGAAGGATCAGGCTGCATGGAGGCTGTCAGCATGTGATCGCGGTGATCGAGTACAACGGAGGGCGAGGTGGGCCGATCGAGTTGGTGGGTTGGGGCGCGGCCCGGCACGGCCAACTGGGTCCCCTGGAGACGTCGGACGGCAAGCCGGCACGGACAAGCCTCCCGACGCGCCTTCCGATCTCCATCCCCCTCGGCACCCCCCTCTCTGCACTCAAAATCGCCCTCGGGAACCAACATAGCGTGCTGGTCTCTCCCACTCAGATCTGGTGTTGGGGCAGTAACCGTAACGGACAGATCCCATCGGCGCTCAAGGCGCTCCCTCCTGCTGATATCCTCGAGCTTCAAGCTACCTGGAACGCCACCTTTGTCATCCTCAGTCTACCTGATCGGCCCACATTCAAACGTCTCCTAGGTTATGGAAGCAACTCGCACGGTCAATTATTGGGCACCTCTCATCTCCACCTCGACCGACTCATTCCCTCTCATCATGCGAATCTCGTCGCTGGCTCAGAACATCTCTTACTCACCTCAACACTCCAGAACAACACCGTTCAAATCTGGGGTTGGGGATGGAATGAACATGGGAACTTGGGCAAACGAGAAGGACTCGAACCTATCAGAGCATTCTCTCTCCTCTTTGAGATCCCTTCGAACTCTAAGCTTGTCGCTCTGGCCGCCGGTTGTGCGACTAGTTTCGTCATCGTCTGTTCTCGTTAGACAACAAAAGCACTTTGTATTTCTGCATCTTGTCTCTCTCCATGCGCTTTTTTGTTTGGAGAGAGAAAACACGTTTTACAATTGATAGGCATCATCATCTTACGCTTCAATGGAAATGGGCAGTGATGGTAGTAAATACACTTAGATCAAAATCACCATTGATTTCTATCCTTTTTCTACATGATTTTTTTTTTTTTGAAGATTGTCATTGATGTACAGGTTGGGTCTAAATGTAGAAAGAGGTGAATAGAGAAGCACGCGATTTTCAAACTTCAACCGGCTCGTTGGCCTTCTCGCCGAATTGCCAGCACATAGTCCTAGACCACCGGCAACGGCCATTTGAACTGTTTTCCATTGGGTTTCCTACAGTTAATTAAGAAGGTGGTGGAAGGTATTTTTTGGTTCATGGCCTATAATAACCAGAGATCAATATCGATAGTTGCGAGTAAATCGTTTAGCATCACTTTTTGAACTCACCTGATCGTTGGAGCAACATGCCTCCGTGAGGTAGTGATTCTTGTCGGAAGCGCATTCGTAGATGGACGCCTGATTGTTCCAATGGGCAGGAATTACTGCGAGGTTGCAAAATAAGAATTAGATGATAATATTGAGGGGCGAATTTTGCTGAGTGTGCAAAGGAAGACTGACCCTCGGCTAGTTCATTCTTCATCCCGGTCATTTTGACACAGCCAGAGTTAGGCCAGTATGAAACCATTACATTTCCTTTACATCCAAAGCCTTGGCCATAAGTGACTGCGCCCTGGAGAAGGAATACTAAGGAGGTTGGGAACACGTTGGATAGTTGCATCTTGATCTGGCGGGGTTATCTGGAATGTGGCGATGATGTGCTGGGTGGGAGGGGAGGGCAACTCGACGATAAGGAAGTTATAGGCTATTTTTGGGGCAGAGGACAATGGATAAGAGCTGATGGGAGATGGCAGCACCTGCCACGGCAATTTATGTAGGATGAATCCCCTAGGCAGGTTCAGCCCATCCCCACCTCTGGGTTCAAGCTTGTAGGGCTGTGCATACAGGTACATAAATACTCCCTGTTGTGTGGCTGGCCGCCGAACAATTCCTCGCTGCCCGGTAAGTACACAGCTCCGTTGATGGTAGCCACATAAAATTGCTATAGCAAACCCTCAGTTCTGAGAGTCCGCTGGGTGGGGCAGCCAGCCGGGCTTTGTGTTTCAGGTCGCGCTTCACGTCTTGACAAGTTCCCTCACCCTTGGCACCCCAGATTGATCACAAAGTCACGCCAGCTACGAAACTTGGCCAAGAGGTAAGTTTGCCTACACATACTTGCTCATGATATCGCTGGTCCCTGAATGAATTTTTTGGAATCCAAGCCGGGTTTGAATTATTTTCAACGGTCTTGCCACGAATTCTTGAGCAATTGCGTTCTTGGGAAACGTTGAGGGGGTGTAAAGATGGGAGGGCATCGAGTCATCAAAACAGAGCGAGGTTTCGGAGCAATCATTCCAATAGTCTTCCGTAGAGGAGAAAGACTGGTGTCTTGTAGGTCCTAGGGACTCGGCCCTTGCGTGTTGGTATTGATTCCTTTGAATGGTTGACTTCACGGTGATTGTTTGAAAAACTGAAGGCGGCAGTGGTGTTGCATGACTAATTTTTGGTAAATTGATGGTGCTGCCAATCAGTGTGAATTGTTTGGGCGCGCTGACTTCCACATGATCAGTGATTTCATCACTAGTCGCCTTGGTGGTGTTAAGTAACATCTTTGGGTATTGAGGATTGTGAAACTGATCCAGTAGGAATCAAGTTAGCAGAGACACTAGCCAAGAAATAACACTTGACATAGTCAGGGAATCACTATTTTTTTTTCTCTGATGGGAAAGCTAAGAACGTTGGAAGTATCCTATGGAAACTGATGGCTTGGTGAAAATGATTCAAGTTGAGACTGATGATGAAGACGATGGCTATTTTTTCTGGGCTGAAGATAGTTTTGTAGATCTTTTCGGTTGATAGAATGTGAAAGTTGGTAGTGATAGTGGATGAAGGATGAGGAGAGGCAAAAGACGAGGCCCAGAATGCTTCTTTTATAGCAGTTTGCGGTCGAAAAAGATGGCTGGTCCAACAGAAGGACCGGGTTGATTTTCATCATGGCCATTGCCCATATAGGAGGCTGACCAGATCTTTTTGCAATGTTCAGACAGATTTGGAATCAGACTGATGGAAAACCAGCCATCAGTTTAACGGCTGACGACCCGGTAACACCGGGACGGAATTTCTGAGCGGGCCCACTGATTCATGGTACTTTTTTTGGTCTTTGGTTCTTGGATCCAACCGAGGCAATGGCCTTGACGGAGACGCATTCAACGTCACCAAAAGAACCAGTCTCATGGAGATGGCAAGTTCTGGCATGCCCCAGTCGAGCATTGAATGAGAACAACATGGTAGAATCATGAGTTGCCAGGTAGAGTTGGCCCATGACCACAAGAATCTGGGGAGAATGATTTGAACGGCAACAACAAAACCTGTTTTTTAAAACAAGACCACCACTCTGGCTGTGATCACATCCGACGAACCCAGTGCAAGTCCTCTCCCAGGAAGGCTCTCGCCCGCACTCCTCACCTGGCGTTCTTGGACGAACTGTGCTAGATTATGGTATTCGAGAATAACTATCACAAATACAAACCAGATGCAGATTGTATACTCACTCGTCCACTTAGACACATTTTTTTCGCTGATACAATATATTGACATTTATTTTCCAAAACCTCCGAAGTTTTACTCTCCGCTTCTTTGGAATTTCCACATGGGCATGTTTTTGGTTGGTTTGATGCATACCCCTCTTTCACAGTTTTTTTTTCTCTCCCTCTAGAATTGACCCTGAGTGGGGTGACATATAATTGAATGCAAAACGTTCAAGTGGGATGTTTTTCTTCAAAAATTGCAAGTCAAGCTGAGACGTCACTAAGCAGGATTTCACTTAGTGGACGCGGATTTATCTACTGGTTTTCAATTCTTTTGTGCACATTCCTAATGGCACACTGAAGTTATCTTCAAATTCAGAGGTTGAGGAAATGTAAATAGCGTGCAAAATTCGATTAATTGTCCTTCATTATCTGATATGATTTTATCATCTACGTGATTCGTGTAACCCGATTTGCACAGCATGGAAATGGGCAGCGATGGTAGTAAATACAAGATCGAGATCACCGTTGATTTCTATTTTTTTTTCTACACCAACTTTTTGGAGATCGCCGTTGATGTACCGGTTGGGTCTAAATGTAGAAAGAGATGAAAAGACGAAGCACATGATTTTCAACCGGCTCGATGACATTCTCGCCGAATTGGCAGCACATAATCCTAGACGACCGGTAACGGCCATGTGAACTGAGTTCCATCGAGTTTCCTACAGTTATTGATGAAGGTGTCTGAAGGTAATTGTTTTGGCATGTCCTAAAGTAACCAGACATCAATTTCCAAAGTTGCGGGGTCAAGCATTCATCAGCAATTTTCGAACTCACATCCTCGTGGGCACAACATGCCACCGTGAGGTAGCCATTCGCGTCGGAACCGCATTCGTAACTGGACGCCTTATTGTTCCAATGGGCAGGAATTACTACAAAGTTGCAGCAAAATAATAATTAGCTGATTCATTCGCAACAACAATGAGGGGCCGAATCTTGCCCAAACCGCAAAAGGAGGCTGACCATCGGCTAGTTCTTGCTTCATCCCGCTCATTTTGACACAGCCAGAGTGAGGCCAGTTTGGAACTTGATAGTTGTCTTTGCATCCAAAGGCTTGAGCATAAGTGGATGCGCCTTGGAGAAAGAATACTAAGAAGATTGGGAGTACGTTGGATAATTGCATCGTGATTTGGCGGACTTCTTCGGGATGTGGGGATGAGCGACAAGTTGCCGGTGCTGGACGATTAGGAATTTATAGGCTTCTTTTGGAGCAGAGATGAGAGATGGTCCATTGACGAGGTCGGTAGCATCTGCCGCGGCAATTTAGGATTCATCCCATAGGGAGTTTCAGCCCATCACCGCCTCTAGGTTGTAAGGCTGTGCGTGAATAGTCCGGGTTCATACATAAATACTTCCTGTTGTGTGGTTGGCCGCCGAAAAGTCTTCGCTGCCTGGTAACAAAGCCCTGTTGATGGCACGCATAATATTGCCCCAAGCCTAGCAAAGCCTCAGTTCTGAGAGGCCTGGGAGGGGCGGCCGGGCTGGGTTTGTGTTTCAGTTCGCGCTTCGCGTCTTAACAAGTATCCTGACCCTTGGCACTCCAGATTGATCACAAAGCCACGCCAGCTGAAGGCATCAAACTGTGAGGCCCGATCTATTGAACTATGTAGTTCGCTAGTGACTTCGAACCTTGACCAAGAGGAAAGTTCACCTGCACATGCTTGGTCATAATATGAAGGATTGGGACCCCCATGTCCTAGTAGGAAGGGATGCTGATCAAGGCATGAATTTCCTTTATGTTAACTAGCATAATGATACATAAATCAGAAATAAAGAATATCACGGGGAAGAAAAGAGACGCAACAAACGGATCAACACGAATGAAGGATAAATAAGACAATCAGGAAAACACAACCACATGGTGATGACAGTCATGATTTCAAAGTTAGTTGTTTATCATGTGTTATTATCAATTATAATCTGACATCATGATTGACACCTTAAAGACAAAGAAAGTGTCACCCAATACTATTAAGTTCTCTTTCAATGATGCGCTTTCACATCGACTCCAGAAAAAGTGCCAGCACGACAGGGTCTTGGTCTCTTCGCGCTCCTGCCTACCAGCAGGATATGGGCTTCCACCATCGGCTTCCACGCGACTGTGAAGCCCTCGTAGTTGCTTTGTACTCAGAGAGCGGGTAGTTGAATGTCCGACATGAATCAAATTGATTGGAATTAGCAAATAGTAGCAAACGTGGGCCTCGAGTTTCCTAGTATACAACAACAGCAATGAAGTGAGACGAGCTCTCGGAGCGGATGGATGCGGTTTTCCTAGGTATACTGTCGACTAGTCTTCGCCCTCCAAGGATTGATAACTTTGGTCGATTTGGCCGATTCTACTAGATAGGTCAGGGTCAGTAGTAGCGCGACTATAATCGAGCTCGTCATTGTCAAGGTCTTCCAAGTCAGCGTCCAAGTCTTCAGCGGGAATCATTCCGTCGGAATGCTGGTCATCCAGGCCGGTGTTGTTATGATCTTGCCAATCCTGTGAACTCTCCAGCTGCTGCGAAAGCTCGTCGGCTCCTCCTGTTCCTCCAGTCTGCAGAGCCTGTTGTCCACTCGCAGTCTCTTCACTCTCCGATAACGGCTCCGATTCTGTGTCTGATTCGTCTATCGCCCGCTGTAATTTTCCGATAGGAATGATTTCGCTCTTTCGAAACCCTGCGATCGCGTCCATCTAAGCAAAAATTCATTCGGTTTAACCCCCCCCCGAAAAGAAAATGAAGCCATAAACACGTACTCGATCTCTATGTGCATTCTCTTCCTCCAATAAGCTATCCCGATCATGTTGTAAGCGATCCGAGATCGATCCATTGATCCGGAGATCGGCCTCTTTCAGCCTACTCTTTAAGGTCTCATGTCGTCTTCGAGGTTGTACTATCGATGATGTCATCATTGAAAAAAGGAACGGTTATTCGTAAGGCTTTGAACCAGATTTCGGTGGTCCGCGCGTTTTATCGGCTCTCGTCTCGTGTCGGATGGGGCTGAGTGGGGAGTGATGGATGATGATTGGATATTCTGAATCTGAACAGATCTTCTTCGTAAAACCAACATCCTCGACATTGAATTGGTCCACACTCCCCGGGGGATCCCCGAGACCTCCCACCAAAAAAATCGTCATTTTGTACAGCCACTGTTCTCCACAGCCTCAGGGGAATTGTACAAAATTGACACATGTGATTAGATGGATAAGTGACTGTGGGAGGTCTCTATTTATCTATAAGTTTATGACTCATGAAGCTTATTGTCAGCTTATAATGATATATTGCAAAGCATGGATTTAAATTTAATCAGAATATCTCAGTATCATTTCCTGCAGGCATATCTTGATAAATCCTAGTAGATTCATGTTGATTTGTTTCCTATTTCAATTTGAAACATCCTAATTTTTGGTACCAAATTTTACTAATTCATTTGAGGGTATTTTTTTATCAAATCATAATTGCAAGTTTCTCTTCCAATGGTGGAGTTCATGATTGAGCTTTTGGATGCTTGTTTTGCTAAAAAATGTTTTCTTTTGTTTTTACAGCTCAGATGTTGGATTTCACTTGTAGCAAGTGTGTTTTTCACCATTTTTAACCTTTTTAGCAAGCCATGCTGCTGCTGGTTTGGGATAAATCACTTTGTGAGAAATGCTAATCATGAATGCTATTTGATTTTCATCAGAGATTCATATTGACAGAGTTTATTTCAACACTAGTACTTGCCTTTAAATAATTTAAAACCTGTTGAGCTTTTAGATGTGCTTCTTGGTTTGGGCACATTTCTTGGTCTGACAGTACTTGCATTTACAATTGTGTATTGGAAGTCAGTGTTAGTATTAGATTTTATGACAGTTTCTGTCTAATTGCTTCAGACATATCAACTGCTAGAGCTTGCAATTTTAATAGCACATAAACTCAGGATCCATTTAGATGTCTCATTATAATTCATATGTTAAAAATTTCTGCATTTACAATGTGCAACCTTTGGGGGTTCTAGACCTTTGGGGGAGTTTATTCATAATGGGGGGGGGGGGATTTATGACATGTGATGAGATTTCCAAGCAGGTCCTCACATGGGAATTCTCCAAACTAAAACAACATAAATTCCTGACCATTGGGGATTCATTTTTGAGCAAAACTTTTAACCCCCCCCCTTTTTGAGAGGAAGTTGAATTGAAATAGGTTTGTTGAGTTTGATACAGCTTGATGCAAGGTAGAATTGCACTGAATTCAAAAAGCCTAAACCACAATCTTTCTTTTTTTCTCTTTAGTCCAATTTACAGGGTGATACAAACTTTCTCCTTCCCCCCCCCTTAAGTATCAGATATAAGTTGCAGAAAGCTTCATTGCTGTGTCTCATAGAGGGAGTTCAATTGCTCAGGGGCCCTGAACTATCCATCTTTGACAAAAGAAAATGAAGGGCTTCAGGGTTTTTTTTTACAGATTTTAACATTCTCCTTGTTCTGCACATATCATCAGATTCTTTGGATCAACATAGTGTACACGTACTTTTCTTTACCAATTACTGTGTTTTTGAGTAATTTATTTTCCAGATGAAACATTGACTTGTACAGAAATTTTGATTTGTAGAGGAGGATTTCCAGGTGGTTATAAAACCAGTTTCACAGGAGTTTTGAAAACGTTCATGATCAAATCTGTGAAGTCTGAACTATGGAAAAATGCGAGAGGACAGATGTTTTCTTGCTGCAGAACTTCCCTGCTGAACTACATATTTCCCAGAATCAGTATTAAGATTTTAGTTCAGACTCCCTAAAAACAAGATCCTGTTGGAATTTTGGTGTGTATCTCATTTCCTATTGCTCACCTGTCAAGTGTTCTCTCTTCTTTCTGCTCACTCCCAATGAATTAGCTTCATATCCTTTGCCACAACTTGAACCCCTAGTGTTTTAGTAGATTAGATATTGATATATCATAGAAATTAATAAAAACCATCTGTTCTTCTGAGATCAGTTCCCTGAGGTTTGTAAAATGTACAATTTTTGTAGCATGAGTGTGAACACTTTTCCACCATGCAACCTTGCGGACCACCACCCCCATTTGGTCTCTTCAACCTCCTTCTTGTCTTGATTTCATTTTTCTCTCCTGTGATCCCTCTTCTCTTTGGTTTGAAATTGAAGTTTTTTCAGATCCCCCTCAAACGCAGAGTGATCCCCTTGATTTTGTAAATAGCTTAACTTTGTGTGGCATCATTGGATACCATGTCATTTTCCCATCAAAAATAAATTAGGAATTTCTCACAAAAACATCATGTGCATGAAGGTTGAAATTGGAACCACAGCTTTAGGTTCAAGAAAAGTCAAGAAATTATGTGAGGGAGATATGATGATAGCCTTCTTGTAATTGGAGAAGGTTTTTTCTATTTCACTTTTTGAGATTTTCTCAAAATTTGATGGTTCAAGATAATTTACAACAGTCAAATTAGTATCAAATAGAAGAAACCTGTTGTTAGAAAACAGTCACTTTTCCAAAATAAAATTTTGCATCAATGGGTCCCCAAAGGGGTGTGATGAAGAACCAACAAGTTTGAAAAATGGTGGGTTTTTTCAAAACCAGTCACTTCAATAAAGGTGGATTTGCCTATACTTGATACCCCCTAATACTATTTTTAGCACATGAGTGTTGGGGTGGCAGGTAGAGCTCATTGAGAGGTATGAAATTTTCTGAAAAATCGGCTGAAATGATTGACTACAGTTAAAATAAGAAAATTGGACCTGTCATTGACCTTCCCTTGGGGGCCAATAATTTAGTCCAGAGCTTTAAAGGAGGGTTTATTATTCACTTATGGGAATTAACCTTTGGGGTGGGGTATGTTAAAAAAACTCAACTAACTCCCTGGGTGCAAAGCACTCGCCTCAGAAGGAGGAGATGGGCGCGAAGGAGGAGAGTTGATTTTTAAGCCCAGAGCTTTTATATCCTAGTTGTCTGGGCTGTTACTCCAGGAGAGGCTCATTCTGCCTCCAACTATCAGTCACACTTGGCGGATGATCAACAGTGGATGGCCACTCTTCAGCAAATACTTGAATGTTTAATTCCCAGTGAGCATTAACAACTGTAAAAGTGCAAGGTCTTGTAAATCTTGAACCTTTATTTTTTGATTTCCATTTCTTACAAGTAACTTGTTGTGTTTTCCGCCACAAGGGAAAACAAAGGACACAAGGCCCAAACAAAACCAGAAGTGGCGCTTTCACAAAATTAGAACAGCACCTACCCAAGTGACCACTGATGAATCTGCACTACATGGCAATAATGGGTATCGTACTCGGATATAGTTTACTGGCCAAGGGAACTCAGAGGATGTGGCCCCGCCCGCAGTCTCAAGATCACTCCGATGTGTCTCATGGGCTCAAAGTTGCACCATGATTTCGCATTGCGGGGGTCGGACGAGACGCGCCAATGGGCACCAAGTGTAACGCTTCAAAAATTGTTCATTATCCATAGTAGGATCAGGAAGGGTCGAGCATCAACTGCCGTGCGGAAAGGGGGTCGAGGAGGGCATTGTCAAAAGCAAGCTTAGGCTTATGTACAGTCAAAAGTCTGGGGTGTGAGCGCCCGATCAGAGTCATACCGACGTGATTTGTACGTACTGCGGACCTCATCGCGTGTCGGATTGGCTCAGTTTATATAGAAAGGAGAAAGTGTCATATTATCATCGTAAAACGAGCTCTCAAACTCTTATCTTTTTGTCAAGTCGAAGTGCTATTAAAAAAGGTTTGTGGAACCATCTTGTGAATCACACGGGTGAAAAGGCAACTGCATCGCTAAGATGTTCATGAGCGTGCCATCTTCAATCTGTCTGGACGAGGAAAGGTTTGCCCATCTCAACACACTCTGTACAATCGATATCTAGGGTTGACTTGACATTGAGGATGTCTGGCATTCTGTTTTTCTAATAAGTCATACTCCACTGTTGCGTGTCCGGCAAAGATATGAAGAGGTATGTAACAAGTCCATCTTGACATTGGTAAGGGGTGACGGAGAATCCCAGTTGCTTTGGTACATCTTGCTCATCCGTTTTTGGACCTTGCAACAGGAAAGCGCTCGTTGGACTACTCATTCCATAGGTTGCTCATAAAAGTGGACGAATGCTCGTCTGGATGTGAACGGCCCTTTCATCACAACTGAGGCTCATATTAACATACCAGACCTGTCTGATCATCACTTGACACAACTCCTCTTGCCGCAGAATCAGCTTACAGCAATCCATCTAGTGGCAGATTCTCTTCGGTTTATTTCTATTTTTCAGTCACTAGTGCTTCGGAAGTAGATCATTAGGGCTGCTTCGTGTTCGCAGTCAATACCTCGAGATTTCCCTCAACTTTACCCTTTGCTTCATAAGATATTCCGCTGCTCAACGACATCTGAAATTGTTTTCCTTCCTTCAATCAAGTGAAGACTGTGCGTGCGTGGGCATATCCTTCTATCTCAATTTTAACAGGTTTCTGTGGTCATAACTGTTGTCATTTGTACTCTTTCTCGTTATCCAGTGAGTGAACGACTAGTACTGGATTGGTTAGGCTTGCTCCTTTCCCGCTTTATCCGCGTAAACGCTCGCGATTCACCCACAGGAAAACTCGAAAATCTACTGGACCTTTCAATGATGGATCCTTGGTACCCCTCACCACTCTCGGCGATGGAAGTTGAGGCCCGTCGTGCCGCTGCCGAAGAAGGGCGATTCCTCCCCAATGGACCGGAAATACCACAGTACTCCCCAAGTGTGGAGTATGATTTACCGCGGGCCCATTCCCGCAGCCGCTCCCACAGTTCCTGTGGCACACCACCCGCTTACCCAGAAAACCAACTGAATACCCTCCCGGGTCCAGGTCATTCAATGCCGGCGATATCTAATAATGTAAATACCAACTGCTCCGATCCCTTCATACCGGTCTCAAGTTATAATGAAGAATTTATTAATTGTCAACCAGCGTGGAAGGCGGAACATAAGACCGAAACCTTGAGCCATCCTGGTGACTTCTCTGTTGTTTTCAGCCCTCCAACCCAACATTCAAACCAGTATGATCTTTCGTGGAGGAAAAAACCTTCGCATGCATTGCAATCCAGGCCAGCACTAAATACTGAGCACCACCTAGGCTACTCTCCTTTTTTCTTCACCCATCTTCAGCACAGAAACAAACTCACTTTCATCCCGTGGAGGCTCACACGGACTACTATCCGGGGAGATACACCTTTATCAACCAAGTTTTCAAGCCTTTGTATAAGAGCGAAAAAGAGAAGGAGATGGGAAGCCATTACTCATTGCCGCTAGGACGAGACCATAGATTCTCCCACTCCGATGATTCGGAAGCCGTGAGGAAAGGTGATTTCTCGAAATCCACGAAACTACGATCTGAGGTCTATGAAAGGCCTTCACCATCGTCCGGAAAGAAATCGAAGCGTCCCAACGAAAAGCGTTTTCCGTGTAAGCCTTCTTATCATCTGGAGAAAGAAAGATTAGTAAGCTGAATTCGGTATGAAGATTAGGTCCTGACTGTGGACGCATGTTCGCGCGCGCCTTTAATATGGAAACACACCGGAAAACTCACATTGGTTATCGCCCACGTGAGTTGAAACAATTGCGCCAATCGATCTTTTAAACCAGGTCGCTCAGTATTGGATATTTCTTTCAATTGGCAGATCATTGTCCCAGGTGTCAAAAAAGCTTCTCCAGGCGTCACGATTTGCATCGTCATCTAGCTGCCGTTCACGATGAACGTGGTAAAACCCACCAGAAAAGTATCAGTGTCCACCCAGACCACCCCGCAGAAGAGCACAATTCACAGAAAATGTCGCAATTCTGCTGAAAAGGATCCATGTTTTGCAAACTCAGTTGCTTATTTAGAGTTTTGTAATTCGAAAAACAGTGGAACGTGCTTGGTGTGACTACCAAGCATCACAATTATTGTGGCCCTGTTACAGTTGTACTTATTTTATAGAAAAAAAACGTCAATTTTGAATTGATTTTCTTTGTCTCTTGATTATTGGACTCCTCGAAGAATCCAGAATGGCATGTGCTTTTTCCCCCTGTAACCAGATTCATTGTCTCACTCACTCTCAAACAATCAAGTTTTTGGTCTTATAGGCACTTGGTCTCATTGAATTCAATAAAGGTTTTTCCAGTGACCTCTCTAGCATGTGAATCATTGATGTTGTCACATCTGCTTTCCAATTCAGAGTAATGCCAAGTAAAATCTTTCAGAAACAATAGCACAATTTTTTTCAATTGAACTTTTGTTATCAAGAAGACCAGATTATGATAAAGGATAAAACCTTTGTCTTGTCAACAGTAGAAACCCCAGAAAATTATTTGATACCATTTACTTTGAGATACACCAATTTTTATTTGTATGTCACTAAAAATTAGGAAGATAAATTACATTTTCTGGATCTCTGGATCCCCACTTTGGCTCTCATACCTCTAGGTTATTTTCAAGTTTTAAAACTTCCTTCAAAAACATTTTTGTCATCAAATGTGCAGTCCTGTCACGCCATGGGGCTAGGATAACACTTTTTGCATTCTACAAGTGCTCATACCTTCCTTCTTTGTTGTTTTTATTTCAACTGAATGCAATAATAGCTAAGTACATAAGAAGACCAACATTCAGCAATCAACAATTAACTTTTTTTGCCCTGATCCTCAAAGATCTGCATAAAATATACAAATTTCTCATATATCACTTATACAGTTGATTTGATGCAGCCCAGCTTTGAAAAACATGAATATGAATTGCTTCATATATACAGGTATTGCTGGTATCCATTACCACTAGGAGGAACAGTATTTCTATCATTTTCTACACAAAATTCTCGAGAATAATGGAATCAGATTCTGCTGATCTATTTTTGACATCTAAGAGTTGCCAAATGTTCCACTGCTAGGCCCTCTTTGGTTTTTTACATTTATATTTCTATGTGAATCCTCAGGATTGAAATGAATTTAATTTTTAGGCTTTGATTTCTGATGTCTTCCCTTTGTATGTATCTTCATAAATGCTGTCAACGCAATGATTTCTTAGTAGAAGATTATGATTTTTGCAAACATCATGATGAGGCCTAAACTACTTGCAATGATATTTGCTCAACTTGATGTATACTTTTCATGGGTGCCTAAAATGGAAGCAGTAACAAAAGGCACAGATTCTATGTCATATGTTGTTAAAAAACAATCCATCCACCAGCTTCAAACACTCCATGAGTGGTGCTAATAGATTCTCAAGTTCAAAATATAATCTGAATGGGTAACATACTTCCCAACCAATACTTGTTAACAAATCACTTGGAATAATTAGCTGAAGACAAATAAACGAAACGAGATTGTCAGCCTCTGCAAAAACTTTCTATACATATGGCTTCTTGTGTTGTACCTTGCTAAGTATCATCGAATAAGACAATTGAGCATTGTGTGATGAAAAAAAAATTTCACAGGTAATTGTTAACGACTAATAATGTTCGGAATATATATTACAACCACAAATTTCCCCCAGGGCAAGATTGATTGATTTATATACAAAAGGGGGTTGTGGTATACCACGGTCTGAGAGAGCGCGGCGAGTGCGATTGAACTCGGCGTGAACGCCGTTATAAATATTTTGGCACGAAATAAAGAGCCCTAAGTCAAGCTATTGCCCGGAAGTTCGGATGACAGAAAGGGCCCGCTTTGACGAGCCAGATCATATTGACCAAGTGAATCGCGATGCCGGCGGTGAATCACGTCCCACCATACAGGCCAGACTGTAAAATCGTTGACCTTTTTTAGCTGGGGCACTCCTCACTATATAAGTCTATAATTTTGAATCAAATGACTAACCCACAAACGCCCCAAGGAGAATAGTGATGATTGCGAAGAGAGCAACTGATGGAACAATTCTAGTGATGAGACGAGCTGATCATAAAACAATAAGTCCGAATTGCTGACTGACTGAAATTCATCCATCCACGTTTAGAAGAGGCGACAAAACTAGGGTCTTCTTCAAAGATATAACGGCAAGGTCCCTGCCGCTGATAAGGCCTTTCCGGTGTATGCAGCGTATCCGGCGAACACGGTCTGGAGTCTTCTTGTTCAAAATCTAGACCATCGTCATCAAGTTTATTCTTCGCGGAGTAGTAGCCAGTAGATATTGAAAGTGAGTTGCAAGAACTTGCGTATGCAAGATTGGTGCCGAGTGTTTGAACAGGGAGCTGCTTGACCTCGGGTAGATATACATCTGTCAGCGTGTTGTATAACTCCTCTTCGTCGAAAATTGTTCTTTCTTTTGCACAGGAAATGACGCTTTCAGTATCGGAGGAAGTCGAGATAGGATTTGTGGACATGATTGTTTTCGGAGCTTGAGCTGGGAGAAGTGAGTTGTTCGCAGATGCTGCAGTCTGCAGGGTTAACGGGCCAAAGCGAGAGTAAGACGCAGAGTAACAAAGATTTTGTGACTTCGCATGGTATCAAAACTGATAAGATTTTGAACTCCAACTCTTTTCGTTATGTGTCAGATTTTTGGTAAAAGCAGTTTCTCACAAAATTTCACGCGGTTGGCCCAAGCCAATGTTGGGTGAGTTGAATCGCCAGCGTAGTAGCTATGGAAGTGGTTACCGCGTGCGGATCTCTTTTGAGCGTTTCTAGAGAGTTGACAAACATTTCTCATTGCGGTTAGTGAACGAGCTATTGCGGTTATCTCCCATATCAACTAAGATTGAACGGGCCAACCCACGAAGAAGTCACCGAGTCTGACAATCTTGAAGCTGAATCCGTAACGAGCGATAAGAAGAATCCGAATTTCATAAATCTGGGAGGCACAAACTTGAGCGACTGCACCGGGGTGATTGATCGCGAAGGGGTGTGGTGGGGGTGGGCAAGGATGGTGGTCATCAGACCTGACAAAATTTGTATGATACGCTTTACAGCGTCTTGCAAAACGAAGTGATTAACTCACTAACACGTCAACTTGTCAAGGGTACCAAGTCCAAAGGCATAATATCACAGGCTTCCCTCGGGTGCAGTCTCACTCTCAACGCATGTGAATAAAATGAAAAGGGTTTCTTTTTTGGATCGATGAGCTTGACATCCGTCATTACCCTTCCCTAAGCTCACACAACTGGATTCTACGGTCTATGTATTGCGGTATACATGTCTAACAAATGTCGGAATTCCAGTCGATGATTCGGCGCAGCTTTGCGATCGATTAGACCCAAGACGCCGAGTTAGCTCCATCAAGCTTTGGGATCGCCGGCGGGGCCGGGCCCGCCACCGGCCAGTCCAAAAACACATTCTAAATTTCTCGCCAAGTTTTGAGTGATCCCCTTGTTCTCACCCTATCAGGCCCGCTAAGAATTACCAGAGATTCACGTGAGCTACTGAGGGGGGGCAGTTTCCTCAAAACAGTGCGTAACTCGGAATTGTAGCATAACATGGACGACTGTAGTCATTCGCATATGGTCAAGGCACCGGTACCGTGCCTTTGATTTGGGAGAGACCGACGAAGACAAGTCAGCTAGCTTAAGACCTTGAGAGGCTGAGCTTCAATTTTCTTTTCTTTTCCGCCGAAAGCAAACCTGAGCTCTTCAAGCAAGGGTTGCTGCAAGTATGGCCTTGATTTTGAGGCAAGTAAATATGTATGAGTAGGGATGTTTGTATCGGGTTGCGGTTTGAAAATTATATTCCTCATACGTGTAAGGATGCCTCTGTGAGGTGCAATTCGTAAAACATTTGGGGCTGAAAAGACAAATGCTTGTAATTTTCCCTGGCCCAGAGGATTCAATAATACAAGACTTTTATGCTGCTACGGCATTTATCTCCAGCTGTCCATTTGATCGATCCGTTGAAGGATTTTGGATATTCTGACCCTTGTTGGGACTACTTCGGTTCTCACCAAGGCTTGAGGAATTAATCATTTAGCAAAACTATCCAACATGTTCAAATTAACATGATTCATGCAATTGTTGTTTGCCAAAACGTCCTTCAACTTGGCATTGGCAAGCTGCCTGGTAGATGAACTCTCTATAACAAGAATCAAGATTCTTTGCCAAATCTCTGAATAGTAGCAGGCTGACAACCAAGGTCAAGTAAGGCTCGAAAAAATTGGTGATCTCTACTGTACTGTAGCATTACCACATGGAAACTTGCAGAGATTCACACTGTGAGCCAAACTGGCCGCCCAGGACCCAGAGGTGGACAGGGTTTATCAAAGTCGATCTCGTCTATCAAGTCGAATTAGAGGTTCTCATCTGCTTTATGTATTAGACATGGATCATTCTGTGCATGCCCTCAGTGCTTCTAAATAATTCATGCCTTGAAAACTTGCAAATACTTTCACGACCATAAGCTTCCTTTTTCGCTTGGTTCAATCAAACTGTTCATTTGCAAGCGACCTCAAGATAGAGAGCTACACACTTTAGGTTCACTTGTTGAATAAGCTTCACCAATTGGAGATTTTAGTACTGGAGCAAGAATTGAAAACAGGCCGAACAAAACAAATTAAGATATATTGGATAGACCGTTGTAAGAAATAACCAGAGAATAGACAAAGCCGGACTTCCCCGCATAGATGATATGGAAAAAACAAAAAAAATGAACGAGAGGATACACTTAGAATTAGGAGATTGCCATGAAGTGGCCGAAAAAAAAGGGATGGACGACAGTACCGGGGTAGGGCAATTCAAGAGATACATGGCACTAGATTGCAAGGAACCATTAATAAAGGGTATAGATTCGTTTATAATTATTGAATTTGCGCCTGGAGAAATCATCATTGCGGTATCACAGCGCTATCGAAAGGGGGTATAGCGCTTGGGTCGAGAATTTCGTAGAAAGATTCTGTGCGCATGCTGAAAGGCCTTGCCTCGAAAGATGCATCTGAGGGTGTGCGACGGGGAGCACTTTTACCGGGCCTGATCCCTCGGAAGATTGTGCTGATGGAGGAGGAGGTGCGGATCCGTCGGATTGGTAAGGTCAAAATCTGATTGAAGTTACCACGGAGCATCGACTTGGCGCCCTCGGAGTAGTTGCGTTCATGTCGCTGCTTGGGTGCCATCTCGCTATCGTCATGAGTCGAGCACGGGAAAGGTATGTTGCTCCCTGGGCGTGCAATTGACGCGCTTCGACTGTGCTGGTGCTTCGACTTTCCGGTCCATCCTAGTTTCTCCTTGAAGCCTGCAGTTTTCGGGGTCGTTGGTTGTGCGAAGTTGCTGGACGACTCGTCTTTCGGCGTACCGCACTGATCAGAGTCACTCACGTAGATGGGGCAGGTCAGAGCAGGTGCGGTCTTCTCGTTGGAGCTGTTTGGAGAAATTTTCTTAGGCGATGAAGCAGATTGCACAAGTTGAACATCTGGTGTGCTGGTAACTAGGCTGATTGCCTGTTGCTGAGTGATTTCACGCGATTGTGCCTGATGCTTGGACGCTGGTTTGGGGACGATGGAGGGCAGATGACGCAAGCCCATCCGGATATTGAAAGTGCTGATATGCGCGCTCTGGGTATGAGTAGAAGAATTGGAATCCCGAACACTGGTTGTCGAAAGTGGAGAGGTTGGAGCGTACGGAGCGTACGGCGATTCCAAGTCGATCGGCGGGTAAGCTGCCTGACAGGCCCGGGGCGACAGTTGGAGCATCTTGTTACCGGGGCAAATTAGTTGCATTATCCCGCCTATCACGGATGGGGCATCATTGGTACCGGTAGAACTATCCGCAAAGGTTGATAGAGAGGTGGGACTAGATAAGCTGTCCTCGTCGCGCGGCTCGGACCAGCTGACAGCAATGGAGGCGTTTGAGTTGGTAATGTCTTCAAGCGCCGGACTTCGCGAGGATGTCCGGCTTTCGGTGGATTGAGGGCGGCTCTTGCCAGTGCTTGAGTCGAGGTCAAGATCTGGGTCTTGATTGGCATCGGGTACAAAAAAAATCCCTCTCAGCTGCGACAGCGCGGGTAGAGCTGTGGCGGAGTCCTTGCCCGACTCGCTTTGGGGTAGGCGATCGGGCACCGCCGGAGATGACGAAGGTTGTGGTTCTTGGTTTTGATCTGATGAGGATCGATCGAGTGCTGGCACGGGCGGTCGTTGTTCGTCGGTAATTATTTCTGAGCTCGCCCGACCTTGGTAGACTCCCGAGATCGTCCGGAGGCGCCGGAATCCAGCGGACAGCATCTTGTGGCCTTTGGTAGCCTTGAACTGAATAAACAAAACATTAACCGAATCACGAACAGATCAGCCAGGATTTCCTGCGTCGTCATAAAATATGAATGAGATAAAGAGGGGGGGTGATATAGGTAAGGATCACCGCGACTGACCTGACGGGCTCTAGAGGTCGGCGGTTCTGCCGCGGCAGGGTTTTGAGCACTCATAGTCAAATTACTGGGAATGGTTGGCGTTGAGGTATGTATTGTGTATGTATTGAGAGAGAAATCAAGAGACTCGAGAAACGACAGGGAGAGCAGGCTGGTGAGATTTCTTCTGCTGAGAATATTTGGTGGGAGCCTCACCGGACAGAAAGGATGTATCTATTTATTGATGTGTGTGAAGCAGAGAAAATATTCAAGGGTAATTTGAATCGTAGTTGCAAATTTCCAGCCCACAGTACTTGATAATTCTACATGCGAGATAAGGATGGGGAGAAATAGGAGTGCTAAGGAGAGAGAGGCGGAGTCAAATGAAGAAGTTGCAAGACCAAAGCAGCAGCAGCTGAAGCTCGAGGTTGATAATTAAAATAAAAAAATTACAGGTCGATGGGGAGGCAAGGATATGAGTCTTGCTGGAATGGCCCGATGGGTGATCAGTCGAGCGAAAGCTACTAGATTCAAGAGGTTCCCTCCTCTTGAGTTCCTGATGGATGGATGATAAGAACCTATAATGGAAATGGTGGTGGCCGCCGCGATACTCAGTAAATGTGGGACGGGAGATATACAAAAACAGAGATTGGAGATGTTGGATGAATCGGTTTAGCCTGTCTTCTATCCTCCTCTTCCGGAGCTTGAACCCACAATCTTCTCAACAGATTGCTCACATGAGACTAAAAGAGTCATCATGCCATCAGCAACTCAACATCTCCATCATCTTCCAATGCTCTGGCAGACTTCTCTGCTCTCGGGCCCCGCCGTACCCTAGCAACAACCGAATCGATTCTCAGATCGCATTGCGTGGAACAAATTCTATGCACACAGATTTAAATCATACGAATGTTTATCTTGTGCCAGCGTCTGAGTGTATCCCTCCCTGAATGACTGATAACCAACCGGATGAGCCATAGAGCGCATTGGCATAGTTGTGTAACCCCAGCAGAATCAACAGTTTTCCGAAGACTGTTGTCCACCGGAGAACCTTGATCCAGCCAGAAACAGACAGGAATCTATCCTAGTCAAGCCATCAGAAACCTTCAGGAACGCGTAAAATCGGGAATAATGAGGCTATCAGAACTGACCCCTGTGTTTTACGGGTCGACGGGAGGGAGGATGAATACCTCTCCACACCTGTTTCCCCCCCCCCCCCCAGTGTGTACTCTAGTGGATTGATGCTTTTACAGGGCTAGCAGCAAGGCTACTGAGGAAGAGGCATGCATTATCTCTCACAAACCCTTTGGCCATCCTGCCATGGCATTGTTTATCTCAAAGTGCTCAAAGCACTCCTCCAAAATTAGCCCTATCAAGCTGACCTGCTCTACTCGATTGGACACAAGGCTCAAGACAGCAGATTAACCTACAGTCAGAAAACAGAAAGAAAAAGGTGAAAGTAAAAAAGAAGGGAGGGGAAAGGAAAGAAAGAAAGGATGCAAGAGGGAAAAAAAGAAGAAGAAAAAAATGAATCAAGGAATAAAAGGCAAACTAGAGACATTGTGGAAGACTTCCAATCAAAATCTGTGGGCCCATCAGTTTTGACCTAGCACCTTGAAAGTCAGATTTCCCTGCAAAAATCTTATAGACTTTTCAGCTCTGAATCAAAAGCTGAGAGGGCCCCAGATCCAATGGGAAGTCATTCAGTACCTATGGTACATTCTGGAATGGTTGACACAGAGCTGCTTTTGTCCAGTTGAGTTATTTCATATCTGTCTGGCATTTGTGTTTTTTTTGTCTTTGTGTTATCATTTTGCCATCTGCTCCTTGCCTGTCATTCCCATTTCACAACTTTTGATACCCATGTATTCTCTTTTCCAGAAAGCTTGGACAGATCAAAAAAAGATGTTTGGTAAATCCCATATCTGTACTGATTAACTCTGATTTTCCAAGTTTTGTCTTTGACATATTGTGATTGCAAGAATGCTTGGATTGGTTTGCTTTTTGATTTTTTTGTAATCCGTGCAATTTATGGATTTACCTTTCTGCTTTCTTAATTTCAAATATGTTTCTGCCTCAGGTGTCCCAGGGCTTTCAACTTTTTTCTCAGCTTATGTGACGGTCCAGTGCTTGGTCGGCATCACTGATGGGGCAGAAGGGAGTGACCGGTGGTCCCAGTGAGCGGTTGAATGGACCTACAAACTGCTCCGGTTCCAAATATGAACCTTGTTTTTTCTTCATTCTCCTCCAAGAGCATCTACTGGATCAACATGGCTCCAGAGGTAGTTTTATCCCTGGGTGTTATCTGACATCTGTCAAGATAAAACCCGACTGAGAAAATGAAAATAAGGGATTAGCAAAATCAAATTCAAAGGATTACAAAAAATTCAAAAAGCAAACCAATCCAAGCTTTCTTGGAAACACAATATGTGCAGTTTGACCCAAGACCAACAGCACACATAGTGTATCAAGTGCCTCTGGGCACTGGCCAAAAACAGGGCAAGCACACTGGGCCAATCCCAAAGCCCGCTTGGCCAATCCTATTAAAGTGTGAATGGCACTAGAGATGGCAATGGGTACCCGCCCGCAGGTGCTGGGTGCGGGTGCGGGTGTCGAGTTTTGGGACAAAAAACGGCGGGTACCCGGGTACCCACCTTGACACCCGCCCTGACACCCGCCCTGGGAATGCAGTTTTGGGCGTGTTAGGATGCATCAGGGTGTCAGAAACCCATGTAGTGTAGGACACCAACTGGTGTCCTACATGGGCCTGTTGAGGCCGGAGGGAACCCTCCGCCTTTTGAGACTGTACACTGTCTCAATGGCCGGAGGGATTCCTCCGGTCATTGAGACTTTACAGTCTTGTGGACCCCAGATATGAGGTTGTTGCCTCATTGATTGGAAGGAATTCCTTCCGGTCGATGAGGTTGATATGCCTTATCGACCGGAAGGAATCCCTTCCGACCAATGAGGCCCATAGACCCCTTCACACGCGCAGGATCCCGTCTACCCTCTGTGAGGACTCTATTAGTCCTTCACTGGCTGAAGGGAAAAGAAAAATGGCGCGAAGACGGGCTAATGAGCCGAAGAGATCTAAGACGATACACAGAGGGGTTTGATTTCTGGCTCAGAGAGAATGCGGAGTCAGTTCTCTCTAATACAACTTTAGAAATGAAGAGAAACAAAGAGAATGAAATGAAAGGAAATCAGAGGCTCACCTGGCTCAGAGAGAATGCAGAGTCAGTTCTCTGCTGAGCCAGGAAGAGAAGTGAGAGCTAGAAGTAAGATAGAGACAAGAAGACATGTACATGACAGCCTTGTGAAACCCAACATGGGAGGGGTTTTACACCCTCCCTGGCAGACCTGGCGGGTGCGGGTGCGGGTGCGGGTGTCCAAAAAAAGCGATTTTTGAGGCGGGTACCCGGGTTTGAAGTGACATCTTTAAATGGCACCCTCCCAACCCCCCCTGGCAGACCTGGCGGGTGCGGGTGCGGGTGCGGGTGCGGGTGTCCAAAAAAAGCGATTTTTGAGGCGGGTACCCGGGTTCAAAGTGACATCTTTAAATGGCACCCTCCCAACCCCCACTTGGCATATGGGGGGGGGGGGTTGGTGAACCCCCCAAAAAAACTGACGGCCAGGAGGATTCCTTTCAGCCACTGAGAGCACACTCTTTACAGCCAAGAGGTTTTCTCTGCACCCTAAGAGCATCTCAAGCAGAGCCACAACTGAGCAATTTTCAGCCCAAATCAGTGGCTTGTGGGAGAATTTTGGGGTCCAGCAGAGCCGCAACTGATCACCCCCCAGCTATAAACCCAAGGCAATAGCTGCCTTGCCAGAGACTGGCCACTTTCTCCTCACTGTGTTTTTCTCACAGCACCTCCATGATGCTAGATCCACTACTTCAACACCTAGCCACATCTCCCCCAAAGCAGTCGATAGTTGTCTGCCAGAGCTTGGCAACTTGGCCAATCACCCCCTGCCATCTATTGCCAATCTGCTGTGGGAGCAGTGTGACAGAGCTGATACAGGCACTAGAAAAATTGTTGGATCACATTTTGAAAATGCGCAGTAACATCGCATGTCACATGCGAGGTGACATCGCATGTGACATGCGATGTTACCGCGCATTTTCACAATGCGATCCAGCAACTTTTCTAGTGAGGGGTGTTAAAGTGGTTGTAGGCTGCCATTTGGACAGAAATTGACCCCAGCTCTTCTGGAGATGCTCTCAGTAGCTGAGAGAAACCCTCTCGGCTGTTGAGGGTATACACTCTTGAAAGCCAAGAGGATTTCTCCTGGCCTTTGAGGGTGTACACCTTGATGGCCAAGAGAAACCCTCTTGGTCATTGATGGTATACACTCTAAACAACCAATGGTGGGCCCCTACACTAACCATAGCGGTTAGCGTAGCGTAACACAGTGGAATTCCCGTTAGCGCTAAGCGTAGCGTAGCAGAATTCCGCCACAACACTGCTAATGCTACACGTGTGGGCCGCAAAAAAGGGCCCACTATGTTTTTACCGCTAAAAGCGCTGTAGCGCAGCAAAAATCCACTACAAAAGCGCTAACACTACATTTGTTGATGAAAAAAGCGCTGTTACGTTACACTTTTTGGGCCAAAAGTGTAGTGTAGCAGGCCACCGCTGAAACAACCCAAGAGGATTTCTCCTGGCCATTGAGGGTGTACACCTTGATGGCCAAGAGAAACACTTTTGGTCATTGATGGTATACACTCTCAACAACCCAAGAGGTTTTTTATTGGCTGTCAAGAGTGTATGCCCTCAACGGGCAAGAGGGTTTCTTGGCCATTGAGAGTGTATACCCTCAATGGCCAAGGCGGTTTCTGTTGGCCACTGAGAGTGTACCTCTCAGTTGTTGAGGGTATACACTCTCAATGGCCAAGAGGATTTCTCCTGGTTGTTGAGGGTGTACACCTTGATGGCCAAGAGAAACCCTCTCAGTCATTGAGTGTATACACTGTCAAAAAACAAGGGGGTTTCTATCAGCTTTTTTTTTGTTTCACCAACCCCCAAAAGCCAGGGAGGTTTGGGGTATTGACTCCCAACCCCTCTGGGGGTTTCTTATTTTATTATTTATATATTTTGGGGCCCAATATTTGCGGAAAACCCAGGGAAAATGAGGTTTGGGAGTCAACTCTCCACTTTTTGGGAGTTGTTTAGCCAATCCCCTACAAAAAAGGCTAGATGGCAAGACTGAAGTTGAAAGGCAAATTATAACTTGGCTATACACAGCAATAAACAAGAATACACATCCGCTTGTTCCAGGAGATTCAATATGTACTTCATTTCTTATGCTCAAGACACATGTTGCCCTGGGTAGACTCTTTTCAAGAAGTCAATCTTGTTGTAAATCAGTTGGAATGATAAGTGACTAGGGTGAAGATAAGTCACTATTGTCCATGGCTGAAGCCAACTAGCTAGTCCCAACTGACCGGCGCTCAGACCCGTTGAGTCTGACATGCACAGTCACACTGATCTAGGCTTTGAGACATTCAGTGACAACTTAAAAGTGGACATCCATTTGTCTTTGTCTCTTCCCGCACCATAGATCCGCCTGCTAGTCGGCAACCTCCACCCCCTTCATCCTTTAGCTGTAGTTGTTTGAGAATATCACAACCTTTCTTACTTGTAGAATTCCAGAAATCCATCAGCTGAGATACATCCCGGAATTCACCATCTGAAGATTGTGAAAAACCATCCAGAGAGAACCATCTGAGTAATTTTCTTCATCTTTCATTTCTCCATCGTTCTGGCTACCATCCCGTCCGCCTACCATTTGCGCATTTACCCTAAAAAGAAATTCAAGACACCCCTGGTGGGCTACCCAGAGCATTATTCACTCAATTACCCTGACATTACAAACATGAAACACCTCAATCGGCTAGCATACTCTAAAGATCCAAATTGCCTAGAATAAGCAAATTGACCCTGATGATTGAATCCTTTTTGGTCAACATACAGTTTTCTCCCTTCACGTTATGTGTCAAGACTTAACAACGATAATCTAGTCAGTCAGTATATACTTGTATTTATCATAAGCTTTGTAATCTCATCATGCTTTCCTCCCCAGAATAGAAAACACAGGGAAAATCATACATTCAAAAGGTGTAAAGCGCAAAGATGCACCACCATCTGCAGTCGGCCAATCTACCATGCCACCAACAACATTGGCACCACCAAAAGAACATGTGACTTTGAAATAACCCATGAACTCCAATCCTTTGTCAGCTAGACCTCCCATGAACTCTGATCCCTCATCAGGTAGACCTGACCCACAAAGCAAGGCTCATAGCAATGGAGAGTCACTTGATTTAATAACCCAATTTCTGGCTTTGTCTCCTGATATTCTTGAAGAAGTTGTCAAGAACACTTCCTTAGTTCCGGCCCAGAAAGCAGTAGATGAGAAATCCTATATTTGGGCAAAAATGAAAGAAGCACAGTTGTCCAGAGACACTATCGTATCCAAAATCCTATTAGCAGCATACAACAATGTCCAACCCAAAACCGTCTCAGGTTCTCCAAAATTGACTAGGTTGGTGTCAGTGCTACCATTCTTGTCCCTTGTAGACCATGTAATACCACCAAAGACTCAAGCCAAGGCAACCCAAAGAAAACCTGACACCCGAATGGGTTGAGTTTGGGCAGAATTTGTGATAAAATCACATGACCCAAACCCAACCCGGAAACTTAGCAGGTTGGGTTTGGGCAGGTGTTTTGATAGTCATGCAGGGAAGTTTTTATCAAACTTATCAAAGCCCGCGTCCCTGCTGCGGCGTGGGGCACTGTAGCCGCTTGTCGAGTGTGCAAGCACTAGGGACTCTCCCGCAGGGAGAGGACTTAGGAATAATCAGTGATCATGCCCTGACAGCATCTCCAAGCTTTGGTGGTGGAGGATGTTGTGGGCACTTACAGACCAGAGTTTTGAACAAGTTATTTTTTCTTGTTCATAGTTTAAACTTTGTATTTTTCTTTATTGAACAGTCAATTCAGAACCTGAAATATATGTCCCATTGATGATCAAATAAATTCATGAAACTTTGAGTTTCTTGAATTTCCGTGGCCGCTTACTAGCAAAGCCATGGCTTTTTTGGATGGCTCTTTTTTTCGACGAACCTCTCTTTTTTTCTGAACTTTTTGCCTTTCATCTCAATGGCTTTCAGTTTATTCACCGTTTCTCTCTCCTCCCTCCCTCTTTCTCCCAACCCAACGGATACACTCCCTCCTCACGCATATAACCAACTGACCCCTCAATGTTTAAGATACAATCCTCTCCAATTGTTCAAAACTTGTGAGAGGACGAAGAATTTGCTCAGACGGCCATCACAACACTCTTGTTGACCACCCATCCAATTCCAAAACTCAACCGAAGAGACTCAATTGATCTTGGTCGGTTCGCGATTCCGACTGCTTTCCAAAGAACTGGATGATCGTTCAACGATTGCATCGTCCCAATCACCCACCTCACCCAACAGATGCATCGATCTCTCTCATTCTCTGAACATGATTTGGTCACAGTGATTATTAGCGACCTTGATGTACCCCGGTGTATTGTTTTATTTCTTCTTACTTTTTTTCTTACTTGTTGATCTTTTTCACTTTTTCTTCAGTCAATCAATCTCTTTCTCTGCTTTTGAGTAAATTTTTCATGTGCTTTCCATTTCATGTAAGGGTATGGCATTATACTTCAACGGCCGATTGGCTAATTAACATTTTAATGGATCAATAGACAAAACATTAAAGGTCCGGTAAAATTACAAGAAATGACTGATTTCAAAAAAAGATAGAAAAAAAACAAATGCTGCCGGGATGAAAGTGAACAGACAGGATTGTAGATAGGATGCCAGCGCTCAGCTGGGATAGGGTAGTGAGAGCAAAACATTAGACATATAATTTCCAATTTGAAGCAAAGAAAAGCTACGCTTATTTTTGAGGAGCTCTTGCGCGGGCTCCTCAATCTTGGGCATAAGCCTCGCTTGCACCTCACGCCTACGGGTGCTCGCGGGCTTTGTTACGCTCGAGTTTTTATCACATTTGCTCTACACCACAGGTTTTGGTCAACTGGGTGCCGACAAAAAAAATTTCGTCGGCCCAACCCTCCCGACACCACCAAAAATTTTGGGTGGCCGACCTGATGTCTCAAGGCGGGAGACGATATGCACTGACGTCGGCTGATCTTTTGATGCCGGCCTTGCGTCAAGAATCGCCGTCGGCTTATCTTGACGCAAGCTTTCCGAGAAGGTTTTGCGTTGGCAGATTGGCCAACGCAGGCCTTTCGTAATGGCATCACATCGGCTGATGCGCTATGCAAGGCTTGTGTGATGCCACTGCGTCAAGAATCTTCCGACGCAGATCTTGCGCGGGAAAGAATACGCTGGGCCGGCGTAGTGTTCGTTACGAAAGGCGTGAGGCCTGGGTTGGGTAAGGACCCCGTCATCTGCAAACGGAGGACTGACACCCCGGCAGCCGTCGGGTTGTCCTGACAATGGGCCCTCGAAAGAAGGATTACGCCATGCATCTGCAGGAGACTTGGCGCAAACATAACATAATAGCTTCCAGCCGACCGATGTCATGAGTCAGCCATCAGGATGTCCCGACGTCGGACAGCCGCGGAGGTGACAAAAAAAAAGAATCCGGAGGATTTTTCAATTCAGAAAAACCTTCCGGATATGTAGGAAGAGACAATTGCGGGCATGAATCCTACAGGTTTTCTTTTTGGGAAAACCTGTAGAGCTCTTGGATTGCAGGCAAAGGATCCAGGTGGTTTTCTTTTTCAGGAAAACCTGTGGTATCCATGGTACAAATATGAGCATGAGCATGAAAAGAGGTGAAATGTGATAGGTCGCCTGTGGTCAATGACATGAAGGAGCAGTGATTGAGAGAAAAACAGAATTAGTGACCAATCGTAAGATAGATGTTCAATCTATTCGTTGGCAGGGGTTCCACGAGCCATCATTGAAGCTCGGACATCGTGAAGGCCAGGAACAGTAAAGTCCTCCTTCGGAATTTCACCGAAATTCTTGAGGTGAGAGAAAAGCTCGTTATCCTTATCCAAGACGAGCTGTGCGTGGCTGAGGAAGAGGGAGAAAGCATGTTTGGTCAGTTAAAGCAAGAACAGTGAGAACAAGTGAAAACTTACTGCTGTTGAAAATCAACTGAGGAGGCTCGTAAAATACCAAGTCGTTTGTCAATTTCCACCCACTGCGAGGTCTTTTTAGACTTGTGGACGTAGTAGTGCACCATCACCAGTCAAGCATAGCTCATTCGGATCCGCATCACCCAATTCCCATTGACTTCGGCTTGGATCTGGGTGGCGGTCAACTTCTCCCCCTTGGGTGGGAGGTCTTGGTAGATCTGAAAGGTCTCAAGGATCCCAGTCAGTTTCGGAATGGTTCAATGTATATTTAAAGATAATACATACAGAAGTTAGCATCTCATGGCGATTGGGGACAGGTCCCTTGATGGTAATCCTCTGTGTTTCAAGTATGTTTGCCAAAAGCTGTTAAACAAAATGTTAGAGATCCATGAGTGACCAATGTTTGATCAAGCAAAAACTGACCAGTGTACGCAAGTTGCTGCGTTGATGCTTCAAGAGCTCGCCAACTGCCTCTTGGTAATTTTCAAGAGCAACCGGATCATCTTGAAGTTGTTTAGAAGCGAGATGGTCTTCTTTCCACTCAGTGGACTGTTGATCAACCGCATCCTAATTATGAGAAAAGGAGTCAGAAGCAATAAAGGCATCAAGAGACATTATTGGACCAAGAACGACTTACAAGGGTGAGATAATACAAAGTTTTCGGAAGAGCTCCATTTAGATGTGGATTGTTCGAATATGCTTCAAGGGTGGGGTTGAGCAAGATCATGCGAGCTTGAGTGCGCACAAAGTCCTGTTGAGAGGCTAGTGTCAGCTATAGAAGAAGAAATGTGAGATCAGTGTGAATGTGATTGTATCGCTTACCTTGAACCTGTCGTCATACAAATGGTTTGCAGCCGAGCTCATGTTAGACTGAACAATGAGCTGATGATATGCAGCCATAGCAAATATCATGTTCGCGTGTCTTGCTTCAGGATCACACTGGTTGATAGGGAAGAAATATAAGCTTGGAAGTGATCAGAAAACCATTCAGAATGAAGAAAGGAGATTGGTTGGCTCAAAGCAGGAGAAGAGACGAGCTAGACCAAGTGACACCTACCGTGCTAGTCAAGAGTGCAATACTCAAGTGCTCAGGATCTAGATTCAACTTGGATTGAAGATCGGTGCAGGTTTTGTTGATGGCGCAATCAAGGCTTGAGACTACTGTGTCATTCATCGTGGTATCAGCAGTGGATAAAGGACCGAAGAGGTTGGCTGGATCAATCTCTTGATTGGCAACAGGACTCGTATGATTAGGGCTATCGATGAGAGGAATCAATTTGAAGAATTTTTGGCAGAATAAACCAAGAAAAAAAATCTTTTATGTTTCTGCTGAGAGGGCTTAAGTGCTCACAGACAGACTGAAGGAAGGGCTGAAGTGCTTCCTTCAGGAACGGTCAAAAAAATAATAAAGAACCAATGTTTTTTCTTAATTTCTCAGTATCTAGGGTTGTCTTAAATAGTCTAGATACAACAATTGCACAAGATGTGGGAGCGAGGACATATGCATATTGAATAAGAACTCAGTGAGAAAAACCGGTGGTGAATGAGTGACATGTGACAGAGGAGGAAGAGAAATAGAGAGAGAGATCGATGACCGAAAAATTCAACACCCCTCCTGAGCAAGAGATCGATCGGTTAAAGATGGAGATCCGGGTATTTTTGTTGTAAGTATTCTTCGTCTTCTGGGCTTCTGGAAACAGTTGCCTTCGGTATGTCCACTTTTGAAACAGTGCGAACAAGCTCGGAAGCCTCTCTTGCAGCGAGGACAGACAATCTCTGGATCAGTAGATTTGGTATACATCGTAGCTTCAGAAGTGATCGATGATTTGATAGTACCGTTTAATTGATTTTGAGCAGCAAAGTCCTCGAGTTTCTTGAGTACATCGTCAAACGGTAGGGTTTCAAAATTCATTGAAATGTTTGTCTTGAACGAATGGAAGTCTTGAGGAAGTTTATCGAGCATTAAGATTGTTTTAACTTGGTCGTCGAGAGCAAGGCACGAGAGGACAATTTTCTGATTAGCGGCTCGGATAAGTGGCAAAAACGATGTGAACGAGTTGTAATCAACAGCAAGAAATTTCTTTAGAGCAGTAGTCTTTGAGGTGAGATCATTGCCAGCGAACTTGGCTTTGAGTAACTGCCATAGCTTGAATCCGTTGAACTTGTCAGTGGTTGGGAGAGCCGAACTGACATACGCAAGAACTTCTTGGTTGAGGTATTGAACAATCTCGGCGTCAGCGTCTTCGTTGAGTTTATTGTACAATTTGAAGTTGTCCTTGTCTGTTTCAGAATCGGGACAGGTAACAGCGCCAGTGACAATGTTGAGGGCCTTCAGTTTGTAGAGTTTCGCTTTGATTGGGAGAAGCCAGAGAGTGTAGTTTTCGTTTGAGAGAAGGATTTTTGATTCGCGAACGACCTCGGTAGCCATGATGCAATTGAGAGTCGGTTGGGAGAGAAGAGTTGAGGTAGGATGATGATGAGGTTGAGTGTTGTTGTGTGTTAGTCGATTTGTTAGTCGATTTCGACTGTTAATCGTGAAGAATTTTTGGCAGAATAAACCAAGA